GTGACTCGATTCCTTTTTTGGTTCCTCGCATTTCGTCCTCGAAATCTCTTCAATGGTTCCATCAATTGAAACACATTTTAGCCTATTTTGTAGAGAAGATTTACGACTTTCAAATAGTTTATAACATTGTTTATAACATTTATAACGATTCTAGTTTATAACATCAGCTTTCTATCGTTGGAAATTGATGAAAATGCTGAAAATGTTGAAATCCGCATTTCTTATGCATGTACCTAATATAATCGGCAATGGCAAACAAAACGCCACAAAAATTAGCCGCCTTAACCCGCTCGATTACTCTATTTGGTCCAGTTTGGAGTCAAAAGCTTGCGCTAGGGCACACGCATCAATTGATAGTCTTATACAGTCTCTGAATAAGGCTTTGGAGGAAATTCCTATGAGTGTGATCGAGAAAGCTGTTGACACCTTTCCAAAGCGATTGAGGCAATGAATTGCGGCACAAACCTAATAAAACTCATCAAAGTTTCACCTGTCATGATTTGCAATTGATAGAGATTTCCAAATGATGGCCATTAATATTCTAAACTATTTCTGAAATATTGAGCACTTAGCCTAAACCTTTTCAAAATAATAAGTGCCATTTTTTCCCGTTTTCCCCTCTCATTGTTATCAGCTGTATTTAGGAGTGTTCTCTCTCAATAAATTGACCTCATTCCATAAGATTTTCTCAAAAACAACTCCCAATTTCTGTGTTTTGTTCTATTTTTTATCGAAAACCAGTAAAAACAACGAAATGATTTGAAAAAGAGATAAAATTTGCAGAGAGTTCGCAAATTCAATTCATTATCTCAATTCTTTTTACATTTTACCGTCAGATTCAATTATGAATGCTGATTTTTCGTTAAATTTTTAGTTTTAGATATGTTTTGGTTCAAGTTTTCCCTTTGAAATCCTAAAATTCTCTTGATTTTTTCGATTTTCACCTCTCCAACTCACATTGCGTGTCTATGAATAACCAATTTTGCAGAGCCAACCAATTTTCAGATTTTACATCAAAAAATTTGTACGATGATATCCAGGATACTTGAATTATTAACATTTTTCACAATTTCTTTACTGTTTTTGCCGAGAATCGAAGCGGTAACGAAATGCGTGCGAGCACACGGCCAAGTACACTGTGCCACTGATGTTTTCCGACACGAGAAAGTCAAGATTTCACTCTACGATCACGATAGTAAGTTTTGGGAAAGATTAAAATTGGTCTTACGTTATAACTTGTAACTTTTGATAGCCTAAGCCTAAGCTACAGCACTTAGCTTTACCTTTGATAGTACTGTAGCTAAGATGGTGGATTACAGTAATTTCCCAAAGCCTGGTTTTAATTTAGACTTTAATTTAAAAAGCCCTTTAATCTTTAATCGAACATTGAATAGTATCACTAACTCTAATCTCTTTCAACGATCTGTGATCCATTTCAGGCCTTCCCTGGGAATCCGACGATTTAATGGGCAGAACTTATTCAGATGATGAGGGACGATTCATGGTCGGTTTCTGAAAAAGCTAACAGTTTTCAGTTTACAGTTTGCAGTAACCCTAGCTAATGAAAAGATTGTTGAAAAGATTATTGAAAGATTCATTGTCAGAAACACTCCTTTACCTATTCCCTTGGTCAGGATTCTTCTAAAGATAATTTTTCTCAAACAAGCCAAGCCCAGCTTGCTCCTAGCCAAGCCCAACTTGTTCCTAGTCAAGCCCAGCTTGTTCCTAGTCAAGCCCAGCTTTCTCCTAGCCAAGCCCAGCTTGCTCCTAGTCAAGCCCAGCTTGCTCCTAGTCAAGCCCAACTTGTTCCTAGTCAAGCCCAGCTTGCTCCTAGTCAAGCCCAACTTGTTCCTAGTCAAGCCCAGCTTGCTCCAAGCCAAGCCAAGCCCAACTTGTTCCTAGTCAAGCCCAGCTTGTTCCTAGTCAAGCCCAACTTGTTCCTAGCCAAGCCCAGCTTGCTCCCAGGTAACTTTGTCGAAACGTTGGAGCTACCTCGATAGCTCAGTGGGTAAGCGTTAGACTGAATCGCTAATCTAAGGGTCGCTGGTTCAATCCCGGCCCCGGCCCGGGGGAATTTCTATTTCAACAATTCAATTTTTGAAATCTTTGATTTCAGGTCGAGGGGTGTGGAGACGATTTTGGTCCGTGGAATGAGCCCGATCCTTACATTGTTGTCGAGCATCGTTGTCCACTCCAAGGACATACTGTAGCGATTACGAGAAGGAAAACTATGTAGGTTTTCAAATAGTTTCACATTTTTTCATAATTAACAAAAATATTCGCTATCTGTGATTGTTAAAAAGCTTTGATTACAAAAATTCGTTAAAATTCGAGAAAAATAGTGAACTTTTGAACACCGATTCACTCAAAATCGTATCCCAGTTACCGTAGCTCAGCTAGGTTAGAGGAGATTAAAGCAGCTAATGACTACGGAGTTATGGTAACATTTAATAAGGCTAGGGATTACGATAGCTGGGGCAGGCTTTAGAGTGAGTGAGTGTTCAGAAAGTTTAAAAATTCAATTTTACCTTAGGTTTCCATCATAATTTTGGAATCTAAGGAAATTTCTTTGGTCTTCTTTTCTTTTTCTTTCTTTGCTTCTGAAAAGTTTGTTTGTTTTGTTTTGAAGGTTTTTCATTAGCAAAAAGCTGAATCTTCAAAAATGATAATTCGATTTCGATCGTTTCTTTCAATGAAATCGCTTTTGATTACAAAATTTCTTTAAACAAAACAAAAGAAAAATGAACGAGAAGTGGATTTACTTTGATAACACTTCTCCGAAAAAGAAAATGACAATGAGCAAAGGTCAAATCCCAATTTCAACTCCAAAGCCTGATTAACATGAGCTGGTGTTGTTGTTGAGTGATGTTGTCTTGCTGGTGGGATATCAACGAGCTTGTTTATTATTATTCTAGCCCGGAAAAACAGTTGTTTCATCTTATTTTAGATCTATCTATAATAAAATTAATATTGCATAAATAGGTTTATCTAGACTAAAAAAATACTGTATTTATTAGGTTGAGTACTAAATCTTTCACACAAATTCATTTTCTAATTGAATAAGTCTCAAGCTACCAAATGAAATACGGGTTTTTTTCATTAGATAGGCCAATCATTTCTCTTGCAGGTTACTTTTGAAAGTTTTTGAAAAGCTTTGTTTTGAGGGTTTTTCATTAGCAAGAAGTCGAGTGAAAAAACGACAAAGTCCGATGATGCGATTTGAATCGTTTCTTTCAATGAAACCTATTTTGATTACAAAATGCATAATCCCAAGAAGAAATAGGTTTTTTTCTAGACTAAACAATACCCAACCTTTAAGATTTTGGCCTGACTTCTAGACTTTGACTGGCCCAGATTTGCTTGGGTCTGTTTAAGAGGATACTACATGATTCCAAGAATTCCAAGATTGTAACAAGCTCGAGATTTGTCGATTTATTCTAGATAGCTCTATAATACTTAATATTGCATAAATAGTTTTATCTAGACTAAAAAAATACTGTATTTATTAGGTTGAGTACTAAGTTTTTCACACAAATTCATTTTCTAATTGAATAAGTCTCTCAAGCTACCAAATGAAATACGGTTTTTTTTTCATTAGATAGGCCAATCATTTCTCTTGCAAATTACTTTTGAAAGTTTTTGAAAAGCTTTGTTTTGAGGGTTTTTCATTAGCAAGAAGTCGAGTGTTCAAAAAAGATAAAGTCCGATGATGCGATTTGGATCGTTTCTTTTAATGAAACCTATTTTGATTACAAAATAAAAAAGATAGCACAAAAAAGTTAGGTCTACAAACAAAATTTCAAAATAATCCGTTTAGCGGTTTTCTTTATGTGCTCACTTTTCAATATTTTTAAAAATACCAGTTTTTTTTCTCGCAGCTTATTCTAAAATACTAAAAATTGTTTAAAAATGACAAAAAGTAAACGACAAACATTTAGAATAAAAGTAACCGTTTGGTATTTGGTAGTTTAAAACTCGTTCATTTAGATAATGAAATGAAAGGTTCAAAACTTAGTAGTCAACCTAATATTTAGATGAGACACTACCCGTGATCGAATAGCACTTACCTTGAGCAAATTTAACGGCGATCGCATTTTCGCGCGGATGTGCACTTGACCACTCGATGGACCAGCATCTATAATAAAATTGCATAAATAGTGTTATCTAAAAAAATACTATTTATTAGGTTGAGTACTAAGTTTTTCACACAAATTCATTTTCTAATTGAATAAGTCTCAAGCTACCAAATGAAATACGGGTTTTTTTTCATTAGATAACCCAATCATTTCTCTTACAAATTACTTTTGAAGGCTTCTGAAAGTTTTCGAAAAGCTTTGTTTAAAAGTTTGAAGTTTAAAGGTTTATTTTGAAAGTTTTTCATTAGCAAAAAGCCGAATCTTCAAAAACGACAAACTCCGATGATTCAATTTCGATCGTTTCTTTCAATGAAACCGATTTTGATCACAAAATTTCTTTCTTTGGTCTATAAATTGCTTCAAATAGATTTTTTCAAAGTTAAACTCCCTTACCAAAGTTTATTTTCTAGTGCCGAGGTGTGGAAAACGTTTATGCCTCAGGAGACAAATGTCGGAGTGATTCGATTGGATTTGAACCAAGATGGGTGAACAAAATGACGAGTTTTCTTCATTTTTTTCCACACAATCATCATATTTTTGATGCATTTTTGACTTTTTTTAACTTTCTATTACGAATTTCTCCTTTTTCTTTTCATTTTCAGTACAAATTTTGAATTTTCATTGAATGCTGGCCATTCTTTTGTGCTTTTTCTTTTTTTAATAATAAATTTTCATTTTTTTTGCAGAGAATAGTAAAAATTAAAGAAATTTACGACATTTACAAAGGCCTAAATCTTGTTTTGATTTAAAGAAATATCGGGGTAGGCTACTTTGCGCCAAATTTTTTGCGCAACTGGATCATTTGTGTAACTGGACCCAGTTGCGCAACTAGATCATTTGTACAACTGGATCCTTTGCGCAACTGGGTCGTTTGTGTAACTGGATCCTTTGCGCAACTGGATCATTTGTGTAACTGGACCCAGTTGCGCAACTGGGTCGTTTACGCAACTCGCCATAACTTTCTTCTAAGTTGGTCAATCTTTATGATTTTAGTTTCATTTTGTTGCGCTTATTGAGATCTACAAAATGAAACCAAAATCATAAAGATTAGACCACTTAGAAGAGAGTTATGGCTAGTTGCGCAACTGGGTCCAGTTACACAAATGATCCAGTTGCGCAAAAAAATTTGACGCAAAGTAGCCTACCCCGAAATATCGTTTAAATAACATTTTATTTCGGAAAAGAGCTTACGAACTTCTGTTGCGGTTTGTTTAAACAGATTTAGACGCTGAGGAATATGAAAGGATTGACGATAGATGTCACACAAAGCTCACCAAAATGTTCAAATCTCTTATTGGGGTGAATTGCTTGATTGTGCTCGTAGCTACTCAGGTGGTTCATCGAATCAAAATTGATTCATCGGTCACCAAACTTCACCAAAAAGAGTCAGATCCTAGTTGTTCTTGTTTAACGATGAGAAAGTCAAGCTCTGGCCCATCAGAATCCGTTCCCAAGGTATTGAAGCGCTCGATTGTTCGATGCATTCGATTCTCTTTGAGACGTTTTGCAATCTCACTATACAGGGTGGACCAAAATTATCGTTACATATAAGGTCTTTGTATAAAAAAACAACTCAAAAGGTCAAGGATTTTCAAATAGCTTGTTTTTGATGATTCTTCTAAGTGACGTTCGCTTAATCCCCATTTTTTGTGACATTCCGCGCACTGATTGGTTTGGCGTTTTCAAAAAACGATTCCTCACTTTTTGACATTTGCTGAAGTTGTTACCGTTCGCTTTCTTCCACACTCTGGCCGATCAGAATCCGTTCCCGAGGTATTGAAGCGTTCGATTGTTCCATGCATTCGATTCTCTTTGAGACGTTTTGCAATCTCAATCGTTGATTGTTTGCGCAGCGCAGCGCGATTAATCCTCGATGCGATGATGCTCGATTCATTCTAAAAATAAACACTCTTATGATATTTTTGTCTTGTATTAATGTTGAAAAACAAATAATATTAAAAGAAAAATCAGAAAAACAACACAAGTTTGAAGAGATGCGCATTTGCGCACAAGTGCGCGTTGTAACGGGAATTTTGACCCATCCTGTATCCAGAGTTTTCGAATCTACGAGACATTAAAAATGTTAGAATTATATTTTACAATATTTCTTATGATATTTATTAGTTTTGTTTTTGGATGGAAGCTTTTCGAGAGCTTATGACAAGCTTAAATGATCCGATCTCCTTGCCACAATATGCGTTTCAGGCGTTTCTAGGCAAACAACCGCAAAAGGCTATAATTTCGAAAAAAGTAACTTAAAGTTGTTAACGTTGAGCGCATTGATAAGTGTGTTGCCTTTTTAGCATTAAACTTGTCCAAAATAAGCTCTAAAAATAGCAAACTACTGTTCCCAGAATATGAATCGCTCGAATATTGAACACCGTGTTTGGGAAATGACTTAAAACTCTAAATTTTAAGATTTCTGTTAAGAAACTTTAACAATAATCTAAAAAATGGCACACGATCTGGTTCATTTAGCTTCTTAGAGTTGGCTTCTTAAAGTTGGCTTCTTAGAGTTGACTTCTTAGGGTTGACTTCTTAGAGTTGGCTTCTTGGAGTTGACTTCCTAGAGTTGACTTCTTAGAGTTCGCTTCTTAGAGTTCGCTTCTTAGAGTTGGCTTCTTAAAGTTGGCTTCTTAGAGTTGACTTCTTAGGGTTGACTTCTTAGAGTTGGCTTCTTGGAGTTGACTTCCTAGAGTTGACTTCTTAGAGTTCGCTTCTTAGAGTTCGCTTCTTAGAGTTGACTTCTTAGAGTTCGCTTCTTAGAGTTGACTTCTTAGGGTTGACTTCTTAGAGTTGGCTTCTTGGAGTTGACTTCCTAGAGTTGACTTCTTAGAGTTCGCTTCTTAGAGTTCGCTTCTTAGAGTTGACTTCTTAGAGTTGGCTTCTGAGAGTTGGCTTCTGAGAGTTGGCTTCTTGGACTTGACTTCTTAGTGTTGACACAAACCCGATGCATGATCCCTCGAGAGTGCAAGAAATCCAAGAGCAAGCACTGCACGAGAAGAGAAGCCAAATGTTGATGGTCGCGTAGAATTGGCCCCTTCTTCTCATCGTTGTCTTGTTTTGAGAAAAGCCTAAATGACTTGAATAACTTTCCGATATCACTCAAATTGGCACAGACTTGAAATAGAACTCCAAACTATACTTTCCATTCGTCTAAAAAAAGGCACAGGATATAGTTCATTTAGCTTCTTAGAGTTGATTGATGTCAATATAAAATTCAAATCATTTTGTGCTCTTAAATTTTCACTTCTTTTGATGAAAGTCATAAAATATAAGACTTTGTTTTGGTTAAAGGCAGTCTTTTTTACTTTATTTCAATGTTTTCGTTCAATCTTTCCTCTCGTCTTTTGCAGGTTTTAGAGATTCATATTCTTTTATTAACTATGAGTTCAACAAGCTCAAATTCGTATATTATAAAAAGAACAAAAGGAAAATAAAAACATTAAAAAGAGAAAAGCCCTCACAAACATTGCATAATCATTCAAATGCTAAAATTAAATTTTTCTCGAGAATTTCTCCAACAATTGCGTCAATCGATCCTCGTCTCTCTTGTTTTTCTCTTTCATTTCATCGGCTGTTGGCAAAGAGTCGCGATTCCGCAAGTCCCTTTTTAACTTAAAGAACGAATTTGGTAAAGATTTTTGGTGGTATTTTCCGGCTATATCTCAAATGCATCAATCCGGTTATAACCCCATAAAATCTACATTTTAATATCTAGGTTATCATACATTAATTGCCCGCACTAGATAAATCCATGAGTCAAACTAAAGTCAAGATATTTAGCCATGGCAAGACATAGACATAGACAGGCAAGACATAGACAGGCAAGACGTAGACATGACAAAGTATGTGCCCAGTTCCCTTGATGTTTGGGCTATCATGCATGTGATGTGAAATTGTGAAGGATATAACCGGTAAGTATCTTTTGACTTCTTATCTTTTTGACTGCTTAAAAGCAAACATTCATCAATAGAAGATAAGGCTGGTTAAGGCAAATCGAGGGTTTAACCCTCTTCTGTGGATTCACCGATAGGAACTTCTCTAGCATGATGATATGATACATGAATGTATGATAATACATTAAGTGCCCGCACTGGATAAATCCATGATTCAAACTAAAGTCAGTCAAACTAAAGTCAAGATATTCAATCATGGGAAAGTAAGTGCCCAGTTCCTTTGATTTCTGGGCTATCATATATGATTTGATGTGTCATATGTGATGTAAAATTTTGCAGGATATAACCAGACTGATGCAATGAAGGATAGAATCGGAAAGTATCTTTTGACTTCTTAAAAACAAACATTCAACTCTTGAAGATAGGAATGGTTAAGGCAAATCGAGGGTTTCATCCTCTTCTGTGGATTCACCGATAGGAGCTTCTCTAGCAGGTCTCGTAGATTTCCTCCTGTAATATGATAATGAATTATAATCATTGATTCCTTCACTGGTCAATGGGTTCAATGGGTGTTCTTCACTGTCATTTTTCAATCGAGAAAACGCTCGCTTAAATTCTTCATCGAGAGTCGATAGACGGCAATCCTCGTTCAATAGACTCTCTCCGAATCTGAAAACAAGATTGAGATCTTCTTTTCAAATGATCTACCAGCCATTCAAATGATTTTCATGAAACTCCAAGATGTCAAGCAAATCACTCACATATCTTCATATTTATTCAACGGGAGACCGACCACGTCGAGAATTCGTTGTTTGACTTTATCCTCTCTTTTCTGCAAGAATGAGACTATTTATGAGGCTAATATCTCGAACCATATCGGTCGGATACATCAATTTCGTTCCCAACATCCCAAAAGCGATCAACCCAACCGCCCAAACGTCCACTAAATGAGACTCAACGGCTCTTTGTCGTCGAGTTACCGAATCACCCACCTCCACAGTCATATCCCCCGTTCCAGGATCACCTCCAATGGCTGGTAGATCAACGGAGTTGAGACAAGTTTCGTGTGATCTCTTTGCGAATTCGTTTGTCTAATTGAGAGAAACGTTGAATTCGGAAACTTTACCATGAAATTACCCAGATATCCCGAAATCCAGCAATTTAACCACAAAATCTTTCCGATTCAATCCAATATTCTTCGGCGTCACATCCTCAATATTCGCATGTTTTACCGAACTCTTGAACTCTTATCTCTTGAAAAGCACAAACCCGATGCATGATCCCTCGAGAGTGCAAGAAATCTAAAGCTTTGAGCAACTGCACGAGAAGAGAAGCCAAATGTCGATGGTCGCGTAGACTCGGCCCCCTCGCATCGTTATCTTTTCTTGATAAAAGCCTAAATCACTTGAATAACTTTCCGATATCACTCGAATTGGCACAGACTCGAAATAGAACTCCAAACTACAGTCCATTCGTTCGGTGACCAGCCATACATAGCTGAGTCTTCCGTTAGCTGGGTCTTCCGAACTCTCGTAAAAAGAGTCTCTCATCTCGACAATCTATAAGGAGAAAATAAAATGCCAGCCCCGACACTCGCTCACATTCGGATGCACTAAATATTGGGTGTTTTGGAGCTCGCGGAGGAGAAACGTGAATCCTTGATATTCTTCGCTCTTCGCGTTTTGTTTCAACTCGGCAATGTTGAATCTGAAATTGAAAAGTCGAAAAAACCACGAGAGATTGCTTGCCTCTTTGCAGCGACTTTCTCTCTCGATTCGTCCTTTTCGCCAATTTTCCTGACCAACGACGCGGCTCTGAAAACATTGGTTTGGTTTGGTTTTGGTTTTGGCTAAAAGCCATCACTGTTGTGTCCAATAGACGTGTATTTTGGTCCGGACTAAAGACCAAAAAAGTTCCGAAATACAGTCATGGATAAAAGACTAAAAGAAGGTGAAATTTAGCTCCAAATTTGTTGAACTTTGGAGCTAAATTTCATCTTCGATTGTTGCCGAACTCGTTGATTTTATGCTCAGAAGACTTAAGGTAATCAGAATAGCCAAAAGAGGAGCCAAAAAATACTAATCTTGTTGCTTTTCCCATCAATAAATTGTTTTTCCAAGACTTTTGTCCCTTAAAAAAATGAGTGGTTTTAGAAAACATGAAAAATTCTTTAAAAAAAGTGAAAAGCTGTTGTTGAAAGCTGAAAGCTGAAAAGATCAAATGCTTTACCCAATTATTTTTTACTTTAAAGGCTACAAAAAACTCTTTAACAATTATGCAAAAACGATTGTTGGAGTCTGACGGCCACTGTGAAAATAAAAAATAACTTTGAATATGAAAATATGAAAAATTTAGCAATTTAGTTTAACGATTATCTTCATTTTGTGATTTAGTTTTAAAAGTCACTTGAAATTAGTCTTCAAATGTGTGAGCTGAACAACAGCCAGCGCTCCGTCTGCTTTGCAAGCTTTTGCCTAGAGCTAAATTTCATCTTCGATTGTTGCCGAACTTGTTGCTTCTATGCTCAGAAGACTTAAGGTAATCAGAATAGCCAACGGAGGAGCCAAAAAAAACTAATCTTGTTACTTTTTTCATCAATAAATTGTTTTATCAAGAATTTTGTCCCTTAAAAATCAGTGGTTTTAGAAAACAAACATGAAAAATTCTTTAAAAAAAGTGAAAAGCTGTTGTTGAAAGCTGTTGTTGAAAGCTGAAAGCTGAGAAGATCAAATGCTTTACCCTATTATTTTTGACTTTAAAGGCTACAAAAAACTCTTTAAAACTTATGTAAAAACTGGTTTTCGAAAAAAAAGTAAAACTTGAGAAATTTCGAAATTTTTAAGACTTTTATCCATGACTCTATACGATTAATGTATTCTTGAGGCTGTCAAATCGTTTAATATCAATCGATGTCAAATTTAATATGCAATCCTCTATCTAAAGATCTAGCAGTGAGTGACTCACATGACAATGGCTTGCGATCCGCGAGCGAGCTCATGAAAACAATGTTCGGGGATTCGCGCATCTCGAAAGTGCTTATCATCCTTAAAAAAACGATTTTAATCAGGCCCAAATCAAATTTCTCTTACCAAATCGGGCTCATAATTGTTTGGCATCACCGTTTTTCCTTCAAAAATTTCCCAGATTGGAGGCTGCTTTATTTTCGGATTTTGTGTGTTAATCCTTCTGTAGAAAACGATTTCTCGAGAATTTCCGCTCATCTTTGAATCGATGATTCTGATTTCTGAATTAAAAAACTTTATAATATATTTAAAAAAGGAAAAATCATTAGTAAATGGAGATAATCAAAAGAAAAATGATTAAAATGTACCTAAAAAAATGGAGAAAAACAAACAAACGTTTTTTTAATGTAATTTTTTTTCTTTTCAGTAAGAATAAATAGTAAAATAATCAATAAATACAAAAAAAATTCAATCTTTTTTTATTTTAGTTGTAGGGAAAAAAATTTTGCGCAATTTATCAGTCAATCGATATGGTTATATGCTCTCTTTTTTTTGCCCGATCGATCAAGGCGATTTCATTTCGCAAAAGAAAGCACACTCTTTGAATCAACTGCCAAACGAGAGATTAGGCCTCTGTTCGTTCCGAGGAGTAAACGGATATGGACTAGAATTTAGGTTGAGTTAAAGAGAGTGGATCCTTCTGATAGCCCGCCATCTCTAACGCCCCGACAACCCAACTCAACTCCTCCAAAGTAGGGGAGTTCCTGTGATACCACAGACCTGAACTGCAGTTGCATAGACCCGAAAGATGTGTTCAATTACTGAGCATTAGATTAGACCTCAATTATATATACCGTATTCTCTCTAATAGTAATGCACCCCAGAGAGCCGAGTTGATGACTATTTTACGGCTTTCAAAGTTTTCCCAGAAGCTCAACACTCTAATCCCTCAATAGATCTGATCGCCAGCTACATTTTCCGACCCCACATCGATAGGTTCTGATAAGCGCTTTTCGAGATTTCGAGGAATTTAGGCGACGCTCATGGTGCACTACTATTATAGAGAATACGGTGTATGGGTTTCTTTTCTTCCCTAAATTTAGGGCTTAAGGATTGTGCTTGTGTATTGTTTTTTCTATTCGATATTGGCTTTGATTAGAAAATAGGGTTTATTTTAGATTAAATGAGACAAAAATTGTACTAATTCTAGCTCTAGAACCGAAGATCTTATCTAAACGCAAGATTTTGACAGATTTACCTCTCGATTACCGTATTCTCTCTAATCTGAGTGCATCCCAGCGAGCCGAGTTGATGACTATTTTACGGTTACCAAGCTTTCGCAGAAGCTCAACACTCTAATCCCCCACTAGATCCCATCGTCAGCTACATTTTCCGACCCCACATCGATAGGTTCTGATAAGCGGTTCTCGAGATTTCGAGCAATTTAGGCAACGCTCAGGGTGCACTACTATTAGAGAGAATACGGTAACAACCGTTAGAATCACTACACTTTTGCCAACGAGTAGCCAGCTTTTAGATCCTTGTGGCAAAAAGTCAGTCTAGAGGCGTCTAGAGGCGATGAAGTCTTCGATAGAATTCTTTTAGAGACTTTGAATAAGTGCAATTTCTCGAAGTTGAAAACATTTTCACGATTTCACGGTTTTACGTATTTGAACTGCTAGAAAGTGAAGAATTGATAACAAAATAAAAATAAACAAAATGAAACCCGGGAAGCGTTTCAAAATTCAAGATACTTTCGCAAAGTCTTGGGATTAATGCCTCAAATTTGAGTAATGGGCTTCAAAGTTTTCAAGTAGCTAGTAGCTTCTAGTAGCTTCTAGTTTTGAGTTCTAGCAAGTAGCTTCTAGTTTTGATCAAATCTCAAACTTGAACTTTGTCTTAAAGTTGTTTAAATGAGGCTAAACTCTTCTCAAATCCCTAACGATGTTAGTTCATTCATTTTTCGAATTCCAAATGAAATGAGCTAAACGAAATGACGTTAGTCGACCCGTTTCCATTGTATTTTTGAGCTTTTCTGAGTTTTTTTTGTTTCTTAGTGACACTTTTTCAGCAAAGATCAACGATTTGTGAGAAAAAAGACTTAAAAAGACTTAAAAGTTAGGATTTTCAATGATTTAAATACAACAAATTATACGATTTGGTGTTAGCAATGTGTTAAATTCAATTTAAAATTGATCAAAATTGAGCCAGAAAGGTGTTTCAACCTCAAAAAAGTTCAACTACTTATTGATCTTTTATTAGTTATTGATTTCAAGTGCATATTGGCTTTCTAAAGCTAAAATTCAACTCTAATATTCAATGCAAATACGTAGGAAAAGTTTTTTTAAAAAAAGCAATAAGAGTTTGACGAGAGTGGGACGCGAACTTGGGGACAAATATGCAACGGATTTGGTAGTCTATCAGACTATCCACTAGACTATCGAAGTTGTTAATTGTTAAAGTTTTGTTAATTTGTTAAAGTTGCAGAAAGCGTTGGATAAAATTCGAGTCAATAATTCAATGCAAAGACGTAAGGAAACAGTTTTTTAAAAAGTCAAAAAAGTCAAAAAGTTTGACGAGAGTAGGACTCGAACTTGGGGACAAAAATGCAATCTGTTCGGTAGTCTAGCAGACTATCCACTTGACTACAAAAGGCAGCGTGTGGCCTCTTCATAAAGATTAAAGATATCTGCGAATCGTTTAGCAAAAACTAAAAACGGATTCAAGATCCCTACTTGAAGAGATGAACTTGGTCTCGAGCTTGACTCAATGCCTTGTAAGTCTTGACTTGACTCGAGCTTGACTCGAGCTTGACTCGAGCTTGACTCGAGCTTGACTCGAGCTTGACTCGAGCTTGACTCGAGCTTGACTCGAGCTTGACTCGAGCTTGACTCGAGCTTGACTCGAGCTTGACTCGAGCTTGACTCGAGCTTGACTCGAGCTTGACTCGAGCTTGACTCGAGCTTGACTCTATGCCTTTCCCTTCTAAGCAGAAAACATCGACTTTGTGTTACCAAATTTCATTTTGTTTCATTCAAAACAATTTCAAATTCAAAACAAAAAGAGAAGAGTCTTGAAAAGGTGTCGCATCTCACCTCAATCGTTTATTTTTTGTTTACTTTTCAGGCCAGGTGTGTAGCTGAAGCGCCGTCCACTCATTCATTGGAGACAATTGGAGAAATTTGAAAATGCGTCTGATTTTAGTAAAGCTAATGAAAATCGAATTTCCCTCTTTTAGTTAGCCTTTTTTCAGTGATTTACTTAAAAAATTATGTATTTTAAAGTCAAATTTCTCATTTTTTATTTTGTAAATGTAGATATGACTGCAATTTTAACCTTAAATTTCACAATTTGAGATGTTATTACTTCTTCAAACGTTTTCCGAATGAAACTAAGAGAGAATGTTGGCTTTTGTTTCATAAATTATTAAGTAATTGTTGTTTTTGTTTGTAAATTTGTTCACATTTGCAAGAAATTTCAATTCCAGACGCTGTTCGCAAAAAAACAATGCACAATGCATTCCGCGGAATACAATGGTCAACTCGAAAAGTGTTGCTCATCTTCAGTAGGGCTTTTGTTAAAGAAATAGTTTGAATAATCACTTATCCAAACTATTAAACTATTAAATTAACGATTGTAACGAATTTCGGCTCGTTTTCTCATGCAAATTAAACAACATCCTGAATGTTAATGCTATTAGGTTGGTCAATTGAAAACTGCCGGACTTTGAACTAAACTTTATTCAAAAAAAAACGATCAATTCATTCCAAATAATTTCCATTATTATTGACGACTTCTGCCCATTTTACAGGCAATTTGCGGATTCCTCTTTCGTAGTAGGATTTTGGTTTGTGTGTGTTTATTAGAATATTACGCATTTTGAACGACTCATTTTGATTATACACCGTTTTTTGACATTTTAAAAAGGTTAACGAGCATTTGATACACGACCCACCCCTTTGCCATTGGCAGTCCTTTGCCATTGGCAGTCCAACAATATCTTGGTGTTAAGCTGGTCAATTTAAATATTCTTGGTATCATTAGATGCGCTAAGTATTTCTCTATCGATTGGTATAAAAACTATTTAAATTGAAAAGCCCAAGACCGAGAAATTTGAGTTTAAAGTTGGATTGCCAATGGCAAAAGGGCGGGGCGCGAATCAAATGTTCTATTGGGTTCGTGAATTGAAAACTGCGGGACTTTGAACTAAAATTTATTCAACATAAAACCATCAATTCATTCGAAATAATTTCCATTATTATTGACGACTTCTGCCCATTTTACAGGCAATTTGCGGATTCCTCTTTCGTAGTAGGATTTTGGTTTTGAATCGAAAAACTTTCAAAGTCAATTTTTGATTGCTTCTTCCGAATCGAAGTGTTCTCCCGCAAGCTCATTACTCATGATCCAGAATAAATAGTAAGTCCGGACTGTATGGGGAATGCGCCAAAAGTGCCCAAACAAGGCTATTTATTTTAGAGCGAGTCAGCTTTGAAACATTGTCGTGGATGAGAACGATCTTTGACTTGGAGGGCCTATTCTTCTTTAGGGATTCATTCACCTTTCCCAACTGTTCACTGTATTTGATTGCATTAACGGTCGTCTTGCTATCCAGCGACTCCCAGTACACCACTCCCTCCATATCCCAGAAAACGCAGAGCATAAACTTCTTCTGGTGCAAATCGGGCCTGGGGTCACTTTCGGTTGGTTCGTGAATTGAAAACTGCGGGATTTTGAACTAAAATTTATTCAACATAAAACCATCAATTCATTCGAAATAATTTCCATTATTATTGACGACTTCTGTCCATTTTACAACCAATTTGCGGATTCCTCTTTCGTAGTAGGATTTTGGTTTGTGTGTGAGACAAGTGTGGGACTCAAAAATGGAGGACTGGAGATGTCCCAGTTTGAGCACTTTCTTCAAAAGAAACCCATTTTGGTGTCAATAAAAAAAGTTGTAGAGAATCAAAAATTGGGCTTATAGCCAAATTTCCAAAAAGATACACTTAGTAGATCCGCTTAAAATGCAAGTCTTGTGAAAATTTGGCATTTCTCTTGTGTAAATTTGGCATTTCTTGAAAACCAGTTTTTCAATCGTTCTGAGAATTTGCATATAAACTTGATTTTTGATTCTCTACAACTTTTCCATTAACACCAAAATGGGTTTCTTTTGAAGAAAGTGCTCAAACTGTCACATATGACAATAGCCGGCAGTTTTCAGTTCACCAATCCAATAGAAAACGAATCGTCTACACATTAGCATATAACATGATGCTCTAGTTCTCTAGTTTACTCTAGTTTACTCTAATTTAATCAAAAAGTATTCGGTTTACAGTTATTACCACGTTTTTATTGGTGTTTGCGTTGAGAGTGAAAAATGATGGATCGATTGTGAAAGAAACTCACTATCAAGCGGCTCAAGCTGTCGTCAATCAGGCCAGCGATTTCATGTGGAAAATCAGAAGTTTGTCTTGTTTGAAACAAGAGTTTCTCGTTTTATAACTCTATTTATAGTCTCTATTTAGAGCTTACGACTTTCAAGCTGACTAGGCTAATCAAAAAAGGGCTTTTACATCCGTTTTCAACTTTACAGACTCGATTCTTTCATCGGGCACCGATGGAATGTTTGAGCCGATGAACACAAAGAGATTTCGATTGGCTGATGGATCTTTAAAGAGTGATGAGTTGTTTGTCTGGTACGCCTTCTACGATTTGAGGTTGGCTTTTCTGATAGATATGGGAAAATGCTAGCCGAACCTCATTCCACCTTCGTTTTCTCGGCCGTTCCTTGGCTGATAGCTCTGAAATTTTGTCTACAAGCTGAAAATGTGGATTTCTATCTGTAGACAAAATTTCAGAGCAATCGGCCAAGAAACAACCAAGAAAACAAAGGTAAAATTAGGTTTGGCTCGGAATTTTCCCATGTCTAGCCGCGAGTCGAGTCGAGGTAGCGATTCAAAGTGGCTCGTTGAATCAAATCGATTCAAAAACCAAAAGCAAGTTAATAAATATGAATACCTTATTTATGTAAACATAAAAAAAGTGACAATAGAACATTTTTAATTGAAAAAAGGACAGAAAAAACTTATTGAACAGAAGAAGAGAGAAATTGTAGAGACTAAAGTTTAAATTGATTCTATTCGAATAGAAATTTAGATTTAAATTCGATTTTCTTTAATGAATAAATGATAAATCTAGCTTTCAGCAATTTTTTTTTGCGCAACTCGCCATAACTTTCTTCTAAGTGGACTAATCTTTATGATTTTGGTTTCATTTTGTAGATCTCAATAAGTGCAACAAAATGACACTAAAATCATAAAGATTCACCAACTTAGAAGAAAGTTATGGCGATTCACGCAAAAAAAAAATTACGGAAATTAGCCTACCCCGAAGAAGGTCAAATTAATCGACTAAATTCAGGATTTTTGCGAGCCAGCATATAACTCTGATAATATTAATCAATTTGTATGATTTCTAAAAGTATAATAAGAGTTGGATTCAATTTACATTCATACATTAGCATACAAAATGTTTTCCAACAAAGTATTGGGTTGGTGGAAAAGGCTATTGATCTGAGGATCGCTGGTTCGACTTCCACCGGTGACAATGTTTGTCAAAAATTTTTTGCTAAGATTCTGAAAAATTGTGTCTAGGGGTCATTTTGGACGCTGATCACGAATAACATGTTTTTAGCCTAGGTTTCTGCACGAAAAACTAACGAAACGTGAAAACAGCCATTTTTTGGCTCTGTCGCCCTTTACTAAAATAGCTGTAAAAACTTTTAGAAAAGAAATATCTCAAAACGGTTTTTACCAATCGATCCGTCTTGAATTCAGCTTTAGGATGAGCTATAAAACGTCAAAATTGGACAAATTTAAGGTACTCTCCCAAAAAATCCGAAAGGACTTTTCCACCAACCCAATACCTTACTGACAGTCATCAAGTCGGACAAATTTGACTGAAATTTGACTCGTGACTTGTCTCAACCAGATTTTTTTAAACAATTTCTATGTTTATTTAGTGAAAAGTTGTCCTGTCAACTTTTGGATATACCGTAATAATTCTAATAGAAGACCATGGTCTTCTAATTTTCAACCCTCCAAAATTGGTGAGTCAAAAAAGTAGGTAAAGGTCCCCCACATGAATCAAAAAATTAAAAATAGTTAAAAACTATTTCAAACGATAGCCCTTGCCCCAAAACATGCCAAAAACATGTCTAAAAGTGAAATTATTTTCTTGCCCGGACTCCATAGAAAATCTTTCAAAAAAATCCATGTAGGGGACCACATGAAATTTTTCCAAAAAGTTATTTTTTAATTTTTTCAAAAACTACGTCTCCAATTTTACTGCCGGGGCTAAAATATTACTATCTGGACCCAAATCTTTCATTCTACTTGAACAGAAGTTTTAAAAAGCCCCGATTTCAAGGGGTCAAGGGGGTGGTCTTCTATTGGAGACTGGTCTTCTATTAGAGACTGGTCTTTTATTAGAATTATTACGGTACTTACAGTGGTCCACAAAAGTAATGCCCCATTGCCATCCAAGAGTATGTTTTGTAAGGAAATCTTGCAAAATCGACATTTCAGAAAAAGAGTAGGGTATTTTTCATAGAAGGAGAAACAAAAAGAATAATCATGAAAACGATCAATGGGGCATTACTTTTGTGGAGCTAATTTTAGGGGTAATTGCACTCTTCCACCTCGATCTTTTGATTGGAAAGATCTCAATCAAAAAAATCCAGTTGTTTAACAACTAGAATTTCTAAAGTAGTTCAAAAAAAAAAAAATATATATTTTAAATACATGTTTTCAGGAGGAATTTTGCAACAAATACTTTTGAATGGCAATGGGGCATTACTTTTGTGGACCACTGTATATCTTTAAAGGCCTAAAACTCAGGGTGTTCGGTCTACCAATACTTATAGTTATTGCTTCCATTGGAGGCTACGAATCTATTAGAATAAATACGGTACATCAAGTAGGTTAAGAGCTGTTTTTCATCAGAGGTTTACGGGCAGCCCTTCTTGCATATAATTCAGCTTGATTTAATCGTCGTCTGATCGTTTCCGGTGTTACAACCTTGTTAAATTGATCCCTCACCATTTGGCTTCAGCGGTTGATGTTTTGTTCGGATCGTTTTTCACCATTTGGATCACGGCTCGGTCTTCTTTTATGGTTGTGTTTGGTCGTCGATCACTCTTGAGGCCTCGATGAAGATTTTTGCCAGCTTTTGATTGAGAAAAAATGCGGCGCACTGTCCATATCGAGCAATTGAAGAGGTTGGCCACATCCTTCTCCCGCATCCCATTTTTCCGGGCCTTAGCGATTTGGAGCTTCTTCGGAGTGTCAAGATTTTTGATGTCAGAGATCTAAATAATACAATAGAATACATTTAATGTTCATAGAAGGAGAAACAAAAAGAATAATCATGAAAACGATCAATGGGGCATTACTTTTGTGGAGCTAATTTTAGGGGTAATTGCACTCTTCCACCTCGATCTTTTGATTGAAATTTGAAATTGTATGGTTAACAATTTACTGATTTTACTGATCTCAATCAAAAAAAAATCCAGCTATTTAACAACTAGAATTTCTAAAGTATTTTATAAGAGAAAAAAATATACTTTAAATACACGTTTTCAGAAGGAATTTTGCAAAAATACTTTTGAATGGCAATGGGGTATTACTTTTGTGAACCACTGTATGAGCAGATAACCATGAGTTAGTCATGAAAAATTTGACACTATTTAACATTGACAATTTGACAATTTGACATTCAAGTTCACTCACTCACAAGACCTAAATCTTAATAAAATCAGCCTTGTGCAAGTTCAGCAAAAACTTTTTCATTTCAGAGACCCAGAAGGACCAAGGATTCGCATTTTGATAAATGCTTTATGTAAAGATTTAAAGAAAGAAGATGTGATGATCGATTTGGGCGATGGGGATCCTCCGTTACCGTTGGCCTGGGCTGAAGTGCTTGGAAGTAAGTCAATATCTAAATCTAGATATCTAAACTGAATCATTTACCTTGTTTCTTAAGCTTCTTTGTTAAACCAGTTCAAATTTAGCTAAGCTTTGTTAAATCTGTTTTGGTTAAAGAAATTTTGTGATCTTTTAGCTGCTGGTTGTCCTGGTTCAAGTGGTTGTATTGTACAAGAAATGGAGCTTTCTTCAATAGTCTATCGAGGAAAAGTACCTGAAAAGGCTTGTTATAAATCAAGTTTTATATTTATAGGAATTTCAGATAAACATTTTGAGAAAGTCAAAAAGCGTTCAAGTGAAGCTGCATCGATTACCAACAAGTTATAAGGACGACATCAACACGTGCATTGTGGCTCCATTGTACTGGTGAGTGGCTGTTGTATGGGTTATGGAAAGATATTGCATTTAACTAGCTACCGTATTTCCTGTAGTTGAACAACATGGGATTTACTAGAAGGATGGGACTATTGCCTCAAGCATTCGATCAACGAAAGCAACAAAAAACAAAAAAAGAACGATCAACTATCGAACGATTATCCAAAACATACAAAGCCAACAAGCAACTGTAATGCTGTAAAGCTTCCTATTCCTGTAAAGCTTTTCCAACTCAGGCATTTGTCTGCTATAGGATCAAACACACTTTCAATCAATGCCAAAATGTTCTGCCGACGTCTTGACCAAAACGTCTTTGTCCATCTTTACAGCTACAAGTTCTGTTTCTGTCTCAATAGATTCCATTTTCTTTTATCCCTCCTCGCCGTGTCCATAGTTCTATCATCTTCTGGTTCTTCTACCGGTGAGTTAAACGACGTTAAACGTATCGACGTTAAATAGCTCCCGATCTTCTTCAAAATGTCTGTCGAGCTCGTTGTCTCGCTGGATTCAAAACAGCTCTAACTCATCAAAAACTTCACTCATCGTAGCATTATAAAATTATTGGGTTGGCAAGTTATAAACGATCGTTTTAGGCAACAACTTGTTTATTTTATAAAACTCAAAAAAGAACATTAAAATGCTTGTCGAGTTTTTTGTGAATGACATTTGCTGTGTGTGTGATTTGTGATTTTACGCTTGGGCGGGGCTCTATTAGAGGAAGGCTTCTATTAGAGGGATGAGACTCAATTACAGAAAATACCGTATAAATAACAACAAGAAGTTAAACTACTTAGTTCAATGCTTAGGTTCAACGATTGGCCGCGACTTTTCCTTTCACTCGAATGGTGGAGAAGAAACAAAAGCAACAAGCTTTTGATGCACATTCACTCGATGTCTCCATCAGCCAAGAAAGTCATTGATTACTACATTGAACAGGTGAGGAAAGTTAGCCATTGAACTTATGACATTGAACAGGTGAGGAAAGAGAAAAGTATTGGAACAGATAGCTTTTACCCTTTTTCCGTTGTATGAAATAAACAGGCTAAGAAAAAAAACTCATTTTGCTAGCACAAATCAGCCTTATAACTGTCAATAAACTTATTTAATGATGCTTTGAACTATTGCTAATCGATTCAACGTTGTCAATCATCCCAGAAACGTTCCGAAACTTGTAGAAATGATAGAGCCCCAAGAGCTTTATCAGGGTAGCCCATTTTCAATGTATTAACCCTGGTAGATGTTGCGATAACGTTAGGATTACAGCAATTGACTAGAGCTCATCCTTTGTGACTCCTTATTGATGATGTGCGTAATTGAAAATCAACTTCTTTCTTCATCAGGTTGACAACTCTGAAACTTGGGTAATTAAAACAATCAATTGAAAACGATAAAAACAAAACGATAATATGAATGTGGGAGAAAAATGGAGTAACTGGGTAAACAGCTGTCAGACTAACTTGTCAGACCACCTTTCAATCTCTGAAACAAGTTTAGAAACTCATTTAGAGAATAACTCGCAATAGAATTTGCGCTAAATGGGTGCCACTAGTAGATGAGTTCTTCAAAAAGGAAATGCTAAGATCTCTAAGCAGTATCAGTTGTTGAATGTCTGTTAAACTCTAGCAAAACTTGTTTCACTTTTGAAATTGTGTGGTTTTTAACTTGAATCTAGTCTATGACTAAATGATTTCTTTAAAGGGATTCCTCGAGATTCGCCCCTTTCCAATGATGCCTTTCACGAAAGAATTCGACCCGAACAATCTCGTCTATTATGGCGCCGAGCATTTGACAACGTTTTTCTGCTCGATCTGGTCCGACACCAAGTACACAACGATGAACGATATCGATGAAATGTTCTGGGTTAGGTGAGGATTGGGTTACAGATAGTTACTCTAGACACTACTCTTGATTACTTACTCTTAATACTCTTAATACTCTTGACTTTTAGAGTAGACTTGAGTAAACTAGAAACCAAAGTTTATTAAATATCTTGAAATAGGAGCTGATCGTAAAGTCTTGTTTGTTCTCTTTCATATGTACAATCATGGACAAAAGTCTTTTAACATTAGTTTTTAGAAGTTTGTTCTTTGTATATCTTGATCTAAATCCGACCAATTTGCAAACGGTTAAAAGATTTAAAGAGCTTATTGCTTATCAAAAGTGGAGCCTTGGTACTTCATCCGTCGAGTCTGGACAACTATTGGACCCCAAATTCTACGTGAGCTGGTTGACAGCATGCCAAGGAGAATTCATGCAGTAATTAATACGGAGGACCTACTAAGTATTGATTGGAGGAATGCCAATGGAGGAACAGCTCTGGTGCCAGGATGGTTCAAAGCAAACCGTGTTCAACTTGTGTCTGCTCCTCCCTATAGTCTTGATTTGAATGTAATCGAGAACTTATGGGCGTTTGTGAAGTCGAAATTGAAGGGGAAACTATTCGGATCAAAAGTGGAGCTTTGGTACTTCATCCGTCGAGTCTGGACAACTATTGGACCCCAAATTCTACGTGATCTGGTTGACAGCATGCCAAGGAGAATTCAAGCAGCAATTGCGGCTCGCGGTGGACCTACTAAGTATTGATTTTCATAATGTTTTTCTCACATGTTAAAAGACTTTTGTCCATCAATTTTTGGCTCAATTTTTGTTTTATTAAAAAGTTTATGACACCTGATAAATTGTTAAATCCATCTTTTTATAATGTTAAAATTAGAGATAATAAACTCTTTAAATCTTTTAACCGTTTGCAAATTGGTCGGATTTGGCAGATATACAAAAAACAAACTTCGAAAAACCAACGTTAAAAGACTTTTGTCCATGACTGTATGTAGACTAGTCCGATAGGCATTATTAAAACTAATTTGCTCTGTATCACGAATTACTAGTGTGCTTTCCCTTGAATTTACTAGAAATGGCTAGATCTGTGTGCTTTTGCTTGCATGGTTTTTGCTTGAATGGCTTTGGCTTGAATGGCTTTGGCTTGAATGGCTTTTGCTTGAATGGCTTTGGCTTCGGCTGAAAACCAAGTTTATTTAATACTCGTGTAACAAAGCGTGTAAAAATGTTTCAACGAAGCTCCAAAAAACAATGTGACCCAGAGCCAGGAATCATTTTGATGAAAATTGTGAAATTAACTCGAACTAAAGAAAACCAATTCCCCACAAGGCAAAATGAGAGAAGATTCCGACTAAATGGGAAAGGAGGCGTCCTTTTATACGCGTGTGAGCGCGACATTATTTAGATTACGGTATTTCTGGTGTCTTATTAGACTACGGTAGCTTTTTGGTGACTTGTCGCACAGACATATCTTATCCAATTTCAGAAACAAAAGCGATTCTCTATTGAATATCGCTAGACGATTGATGGATCCTGTCAAACATCCGGATATAGGTTTTTTAGTTTAAATAGAGTTTAAAATATAGTATTTAAATTAAGATAAATAAATAAACAATAAAACAAAATAAAAACAAAATAAATACGAGAAATAGTAACGAATTTAGCCGCTCTTGGACTCGAAGCGAATGCCCTTGCATTTCCGGATGGAATCGCGCCAAAGCCGTGGAGTTTCAACAAGTTTCGACGGCTTGAATTCGTTAAAAAGGCTCATCCCTTTCATTGGGGAGGCTTGAGCAAAGTATTTTTTAAATCATAAAGGCTTGTAGGAAATCTCAATGAAATTCTTTTCTCTAGTACATCTACTTGACACAATATGCGAAACTGCCATGGATTCACGGAATGCGCATGTTTTACGCTGGGAAACGCTCGGAGTCGGTGAGTGATCGGTGTAACAAGTGATTAGTACTTGCGATATCTTTCAGTGTGACGATTTAGCACGCGTGCAGTCAACTCAATTGACAAATGAGTTATTGTATGGCTTTAAGTGGTTTGAACCACATAAATTCCAATCAAAGCCATTGAATTATTGATAAAAATTCCTATCTGCTCTCCAAAATATAGATTTTCTTCATTTTGAACAACACTGCAACTATTATTTCTTTTCTATTGAAAAGAGCGTGTCTTAAAATCTAGAAATTCGGCTTGGCATTGAAGTGATGAGGTTTTGAAGAGTAGAGACGTCGAGATCGTTCCAGGCCAAACAGATCGATTGAAGTGATGAGGTTTTGAAGAGTAGAGACGTCGAGATCGTTACAGGCCAAACAGATCGATTGAAGTGTTGAGGTTTTGAAGAGTAGAACGTCGAGTCGTTACAGGTCAAACAGATCGATTGAAGTGTTGGGTTTTGAAGAGTAGAGACGTCGAGATCGTTACAGGCCAAACAGATCGATTGAAGTGATGAGGTTTTGAAGAGTAGAGACGTCGAGATCGTTACAGGCCAAATAGATCGATGCTTTTAGTGAAAAAACGTCTGATTCTTGTAGACAACTCGGACAAGTATTCCCCATAAATTCTCTAATTGAAATCAGAAGTTCGAGCAGGCCAATCCAAAGTTGCAATGTTGTTGTTGTTCAGCCAGTCTCGGCTTGATGAATTGACGCGTTTTGAAAACATAGGGAACAGTTGGAGTTAGAAGCAAAAATGGCAGCAGCAAGCAATCGTCCAAGACAGCAGCAAGCAATCGTCCTGCTTGACAGCAGCAAGCAATCGTCCAAGACATCAAAGCGACTCATCCGCTTTGAAACCGATCTTCAGAGCGAGGTTCAATCAGTAAAGAAGGCAGCTCAAACCATCACAGAACCACCGCCAAAGCTTGGAGTGCCAAACACCATCGGAAGATCTCTCCAATAATAGTCAACGCCATCCAAATTCCATTTCTTCTCATTGAACAGCTCCGACAAGTAGTTCCCATATCGGATTGAGGTTAGGAGATCAAGCAGGCCAATCCAAAGTTGAAATGTTGTTGTTGTTCAGCCAATCTCGGCTCAATGAATTAACCTTTTGTTGTGTTGAAACACATAGGAAACGGTTGGATTTAGGAGCAAAAATGCCAGCAAGCAATCGTCCAAGACATCTATATAGTCAAAACGATTCATCCGATTCGAAATCATCTGCAGAGCGGTCAGCATCTGCATCAGCACAGAAGGCAGCCTAAACCATCACAGAACCACCGCCAAAGCTTGGAGTCCCAAACACCATTGGAAGATCCCTCCAATAGTAGTCAACGCCATCAAAATTCCATTTCTTCTCATTGAACACCTCCGACAAGTAGTTCCCATAAATTCTCTATCGGATTGAGGTTAAGAGAGCAAACAGGCGAATCCAAAGTTGCAATGTTGTTGTTGTTCAACCAGTCTCGGCTCAATGAATTAACCTTTTGTTGTGTTGTAAACTTGGGTATAGCTGGAGTACGGTAGCTTAGGAAAAACGGACAAGGTACGATAGGTGTACAGTATACTCATTCACTGGAACTCGATCATTTTTTTCAGATTCCCAAAGAGCAAGCCGTCATGTTGCATATGCGAAACAGCTTCCTCAACACAAGTCAAGGCAACAAAGTCTTTCCCGAATATCAGATGTTTGAGGTGGCTTATGTTAATTAAATAAGTGTATTCAACAAAATTTCTTTGATTATTTGAACTTTCAGGATGAGGCTCTTCCCGAATTGGATAGCATTTTGGGCGAGATCTTTGGCGAAGAGCTGCCCGACTACAAGACGCCAGAGACGATGCCAATTGTGGTCAACTGTACTGTTAGGTGGCTGATTTCTTGGACTGGAGATGGCGTTTGACAAAAATTAGTTAGAGAATTTATTGGACTGTTTAGCAGAACAGAATACGATCTTTTCGTATGTAACCACAAAATGTTGAACCAATTGAGCGGCTTATTCATATGAAAGTCGAAGTTTTAGTCATTGACTGTTCCAGATCGATAAGCGAGATCCCGGGTCAAGCATGCAACAAGCCGACCGGTCGTGTCTGCTACGAGGCCGTGCAGGGAATTGACGAATGGCTTCTCGCGGTGCCCACAGAAGACAGCCAATTTATTGTTGTTTGATTGATGTCAAAACTTGTATGTACCTAATTAGAGTGTGTTCTATACTTTCAAAGTGTCTGTAAAGTAAAGTGTGTTACTTTCAAAGTCTTCCTATACTTTCAAAGTCTTCCTCTAAGCTCTGGTTGAATACCTTCTCATTTTGTGGGAAAATTCAAACAAATGGGCTGTCCATTTGTTTGAATGATTTGAATGATGAATCTGCCTTATATACGCCGCTTTATATACGCTGCTTATATACGCCGCTTTATATACGCCTAAGGCTTAATAGCAACTTGGTTATTTTATGATCCTTCTTGTCCAAAAGGGATCGTATTTGCGCCAGCTGCTTCAGTTTGCTATCGGATAACCCTAAATACCGAAAAGCTCAAATGGATGTTGTAAATTAGACGTCAATATTGTTGTCTTTAAGCTTTCGAAAGCTAATTTCATTCCGGTAAATATTAAAAATGTGTAGGCAATTTTAAATGCAAAATTCACGAAACAAAAGGATCAACTTCTTTCAAAAGTCATCGGCCAATGATTGAAAACGGTGATCCAGACAGTCTAGACTTAATACTCTAATCTCGACTGAATACCGTAACCTAGCCATTCTAGACTGAAAATCCTGTTCTAGATTGAATACCGTAATTCAGACAGTCTAAACTGAATACCCTAATCTAGACTAAGTACCGTAATCTAGCTATTCTAGACTGAATACTCTAATCTCGACTGAATACTCTAATCTAGACAAATTACCGTAATCTAGCGATTCTAGACTGAATATCCTATTCTAGATTGAATACCGTAATCCAGACAGCCTAGACTGAATACCCGGAAATGCAGGGAATTTGTGACCAAACGCCCAAATAATACTGCATGATCTTCGTGGACTAATCATCATTTTGATTCTATTGTTGCCTCTTCTCTGCTGTTTTTACTGTTTATACTGCAGAGTGAGTTTCTTTGGTGTACTGCCCGATTAATCACTTCAGCCTGGACCGATAGAGTAGATCTGTTCTACAAACAACAAAGTAAACAAACTACAAAGTATAAACAAACTAGAAAGTAAACAAACTACAAAGTAAAACAAACTACAAAGTAAACAAACTAGAAAGTAAACAAACTACAAAGTAAACAAACTACAAAGTAAACTAAAAACGTTTCATAACTTGTTTCTCGTAAGTTCTTTCTCAGAATTTTTCTTTTACCAGAATGTAGCAAAAGAAAATCTCTTTCTAATGGTATATAAAGCTCCAAGAAACACAGCACACACATCGTGATGTTAAATGTTTTGTGTTAGTATTTAGTGCCTGTTTAGTTTGTTTAGTTTAAAAATGTTTTGGTGCCTATGACTCGAATCGGGTCAGTTGTAGTTTGCGAAATTGTTGAAGTTTCTAGGATATGGATACCAGTCGAGAGAATATTTTCTCAGATGCCCTCAACTACGAAGTCTCTCTCGACGCCTTCATTGTTGGCCCTCTCGGTGGTTGGGATGTGTGCAACGACATGGTGTGAACTCGGCATCTCCGCAAAATATGGCCAGCTGATGAGAAGACTGATGGTGACCGATGCAATCCGATGGTCCCGTGACATCTACGTGCAGCACATCACCGGCAACAAGCAATACGAAGTTCCTATTTGTGATGATTGATCTCTCTCGATGCATGAATTGATTATACCTCGACTTCCAGTAACCAGATCAACTTCAGGTTAGTTTTAAAATGTTCCTGAATGAAATTCCGTTATAGAAATCCATAACTTACTTACTACACTTTAATATCCTTTTAGTCTCCTCTAGTCCTCTTTCTCAAATTGAAATATTTCATGCGTACTTTTGTATATTTCATGCGTACTTTATATCTCTGTGATTGCATAAGTGATCTAGAGTTTTATTTTCGAATCAGGTTTCTCAAGAAGAGAAGCTTCTCAAAACATTGCTGAGCTTTTTGAGATCCGTGATCGCTCAGTAATATTGGTTTTAGGGACATCTTTTGTCTAAATATTGAGAGTTTGAATAAAAGCTGATGTTGTTTTACCAAAGCTGCAGCAACTCGAGCGATTGGGTGGAGCTTTTTCTTCTTCTTTATCGGGTTTTCACACCGAATGAGTCGAAAAACGAATTCCCGGTAAGTATCATAGCAAGTCAATTGAATGATGGTACCAATTGTTGAATGGCAAGCAAAGAAGAATGAGGCGAAAATGGAATAACCTGAAAAAACAAGATTTCAGATTTCAGCGACTTTCAAACACTTAATTTTCGTGTTTACGGTTAAGAAACAGATGAGAAACCAGATGACGGGCACCAAGAACATCACAAAGAGAGCAATCAGCTGAATTTCATGAGCTGAATTTCATGAGCTGAAGATTATTGAAGAAAAACTCACTCATTTACCTAAGGTTTACTTCAAATAAAAAGGGTTTATGATTTATGACTTATCGTTTAGTTCTCGCCGCCAAAAAAGACAATTTCAAAGTTCTCAAACGGTATCAATGTCTCAAAACTCTTTTTTTAGTTCTCGCCAAGACAATTTCAACACATTTCAATGTTATTTTGTAGAAAAATTATTTGTCTTTCTAATGGAACAAACTGTCGTTCAATCCATGAAAGTTTTTTATTCGATGTTTTTAAAAGGAAGGATGAAAACGGCGAAAAGACTGGTTTGCCAAACTGACACTGATACCAACGAAACTGTTTGATACCAACGAAACCGTTTGATACCAACAAAACTGTTTGATACCAACGAAACCATTTGATATCAACGAAACGGTTTGATACCAACGAAACCGTTTGTTACCAATGAAACCGTTTGATATCAACGAAACTGTTTGATACCAACAAAACTGTTTGATACCAACGAAACCATTTGATATCAACGAAACGGTTTGATACCAACGAAACCGTTTGTTACCAATGAAACCGTTTGATATCAACGAAACTGTTTGATACCAACGAAACCGTTTGATACCAACAAAACTGTTTGATACCAACGAAACCATTTGATATCAACGAAACGGTTTGATACCAACGAAACCGTTTGTTACCAATGAAACCGTTTGATATCAACGAAACTGTTTGATACCAACGAAACTGTTTGATACCAACGAAGCCGTTTGATACCAAAAGCTGGTTAGATAAGAGCACCGTAGCTTTGGAAAGTTGTCTGCTATCAAGTCTGCTATCAAAAAGTAGATTTGCTTATCCGGATATCAAACAGAAGTTGATAAAGACAAGATTTTACCGTATAACTTCTGTCTCCATTCTTGAGTTACTGTACCAACGGTTACTATACCAACGAAACCGTTTGATATCAACGAAACGGTTTGATACCAACAAAACTGTTTGATACCAACGAAACTGTTTGATATCAAGGAAACTGTTTGATACCAAAAGCTAGTGGTTAGATAAGAGCACCGTAGCTTTAGAAAGTTGACTGGCTTTTGAAAAAGCATCAGTCGAAAGGAACGGATTTGTCTAATACAGTCACTCACTTGAAGGTTGAGATTCCGGGTCCACTTCTTGTGAAGATGTAAAGTACGAGGGCTCATGAAATTTCGTTGTTGCGTCAGAATGTGATTGGTAAAGATGAGCAAGCCTGTAGTGAAAATGAGAAACTGATTAACTCATGAACTAAACCGAAAAGCACTCCTCCAAAAAGCGATGGGTAGATTATTACAGCAGCCACAAATATAGTAATCACTGGTTTTCGAGAATCCAAATATTCGGGCTTGTGAGGAAAGAGGCAATCTCCGGGAATCTCTGAAACTAAAGCTAACTGAAAACTAACTGAAAACGGTTTCAACCTGAATTTGCTCGTTGAATGCTATTTTTCATCATTGGCTGCCCACATTGCATAAGTTAGAGGCACAAGGAGGAAAAGTGGATGAGCGTACCAGAAGATTTCAGTCATGAGAGCTTTCCTGAAAGAAATTTGATAGATATGAAATATTGAATAGAATATTGAATAGAATTTAGCTGGTTACTTTCTTCCAAACTTTGCCCAGTGATTATCAGGCAAAATGGCTTGTCCCTTTTCGAAAACCGCTCCCAGCAAAGCCACCACGAATTCAAGAAGCAAAAATGTTTGCAGACACTAGAATTATGATGTTTATGAATGTTACTACAATTTAAGTTACAAATATTCATACAATTTGAAAAATTAACGGTACGCCGAGATTCGCAAAGAGGCCAACGTAGAGTACGGATGGAGCTGGGGAAACAGGGAACCGGCAAAACAAATGAACAATGAAAGAGATCATTTACGAGGCCGAGTAACTGGAATTCAAATTCAAATTGAGTAGAATCATTACTTGAAAATCACCTACCTGCACAATTAGTTGATAATTTTTGAATGTTCCCAAATGTTTCGGTGTCGCGAAATAGATGACAAACAAACCGAAGCTATTCAATAAGAAGAAGGGTACTGAAATGGGAAAGTTGAGCAAAGAGCAAATAAACTGGAACGTTTCTAAAAGATGCGGTTGAAAAAAACCGTAATCAGAACGAAACCCTGTTTCAAGTTTCACTTTAGCGTGAGAGGAGTCACTTTTGGCTTGAGTTGAAAAGAATTCAGAGTATTATCGCGTCTTTTTGAACTAACTTTTATGCGATTTAAAGTATCCTTTTACGTTGTGTAAAACATGAATTCTGTTCAGTTTCTTTTCCTCTTTAGAATCGTGCATAGCATTAAATGTGTATTTTTAGAAATGCAAGCTTGCCCTCATCGAGAAACGACCGCTATGCTTTTTGAAAGCCGGAGGGTCGAAGGCGGTCATCTCGCGAAAGCACAAAACCAACATCAGAACTGTTCAACGACTTGCCAAACAATTACAAGAGAAAGGACACGTCAAGGAGAATTCGAAAAAAGGAAGACCTCGATCGGTGAACACGCCAAACATCCGGAAGCTCATCAAACTGCGAATTGACCGAAACGACGAGCGAAGCTTAGGAAAAATGGCTAAGGAGCTTTTAAAACATATTCAGCTTTCGATAGCTTTTTTGTTATGCTACCCTTCAGTTTTAAAATCCTGTTTAGATAACTGGTTTAACATTGTAGAAAGAACTTACTAACATTTGTTTCGCCACCGACGAGTATTAATCTTGTGTTGGATGCTGCGCGTTCTTGTAAGCGCTTTGGGGAAACCCTTTGTTTTAGTATTTTGGAAAAAATAGAACTTGAATGAGGATTGAAAAAAAATAAAATTCACACTTAAAAATCAATAATTTCTTTGAATAGAAATGCAATAATCCAATAAAATTTGTTCTTTAATTGATCGAATCATATAAATCTTGTTTTTTTGAAACTATTTTAAGTAAGAAGAAGGGTACTGAAATGGGAAAGTTGAGCAAAGAGCAAATAAACTGGAACGTTTCTAAAAGATGCGGTTGAAAAAACCGTAATCAGAACGAAACCCTGTTTCAAGTTTCACTTTAGCAGTCTTTAAGTAGTTTTAAGTCAAAAAAAAGCTCATTTTTGAGAGAAAAAGAAGAAAATAGAGAAGAATTGCTTTAAAAAACTTGAAAAACTATTAGGTAAATGAAAGTTTTTCATTTAGCTCTCCGTATCCGCCTACAGGTCCGGTCTGTGCACACATATCATTTGGTCGCGTCCGTTTCCTTCCTATTTACGTTGCTATTTTGCGATTATTCGCGTCGCGTTTTTCGTCCTTTTTCCCCCTTCCCGAAATTATTTTTTTTGGTCTGCGGGTTTTTGCCTTCTTTCTTGGGGGACTTTGTTGTTTCATTTTTGATGCGCATGCTGTTTTTGTAATGGGTATTGTTGCATTTCGGTTCTGTACTAATAAACAGTAACCTTATAAATTCACTTTACTTTATGCTACCCTCCAGGTTTTAAATCCTGTTTAGATAACTGGTTTAACATTGTAGAGAGACTGGTTTTACTAATTTTACTAGCATTTGTGTCACCATCGACGTAGTATCAATCCGATCTGTACTCTTCTCAAGAGTATTAATCTATTGTTGGATACTACGTGTTCTTGTTACGTTGTAAGCGCTTTTCGGGAAACCCTTTTAACCTTTTGTGCTATTCGGCCATTCTTAAGCAGAATCATCCTCTTTAGCGGGTCGCACCCCAAACTAAAGAAAGAAAAGCTTATTCTTTTCGATTGTTGATCTGTAGCACGCAAAGAAAACAGTAAACAATCAATCGGGGGCGTTTCTTTGTATCACGACTTTCAGTAGCGCTACTTAAATAAGGGTAAAATGATTTGCTCAGCAACTTTTAGTTACTGTCAAATCCCAGATTATTTCAATATATCAATTGGCACATAGGTTATACCCCCCAGTCTGGCGATTGGGTTATAGCCAGCCCCAATCTGGCGACTGGGTTATACCCCCAATCGGTGAATCAATCTGGCTTTTGCTACCCGCACTTTACATCAACAAAAATTTACATTTACAAGTTTGCATTTACAAGTTCTACTTGCATAATGTTAGGTTTTACCCCCCGCAAAACTGAATTTTACTCTCTTTGTATGAAAATTTTGATATTTTTCGGTTAAATCTCTGCCACCAATATGGGGACCAAATGGCGTTCCTTCCCATTTTCAATTTAAATCATAATATTTTATCATAGTGCCCTATCTCCACCAGCTTGGTTCCCTATCTCTTTAAATTTGGTTTCCTATCTCTTTAAATTTGGTTCCTTATCTTTTACCCTACAACTTTGGTTCCCTATCTCTCTAAATTTGGTTCCTGATCTCTAAATTTGGTTCCTTATCTTTTACCCTACAACTTTGGTTCCCTATCTCTCTAAATTTGGTTCCTGATCTCTAAATTTGGTTCCTTATCTCTAAATATGGTTCCTTATCTCTAAATTTGGTTCCTGATCTCTAAATTTGGTTCCTTATCTCTAAATATGGTTCCTTATCTCTAAATTTGGTTCCTGATCTCTAAATTTGGTTCCTTATCTCTAAATATGGTTCCTTATCTCTAAATTTGGTTCCTCATCTCTAAATTTGGTTCCTCATCTCTAAATTTGGTTCCTCATCTCGAAATTTGGTTCCTCATCTCTAAATATGGTTCCTTATCTCTAAATTTGGTTCCTCATCTCTAAATTTGGTTCCTTATCTCTAAATTTGGGGGGCCAAATGGGCGTTCCTTCCCATTTTCAATTTAAATCATAATATTTTATCATAGTGCCCTATCTCCACCAGCTTGGTTCCCTATCTCTTTAAATTTAGTTTCCTATCTCATTCAAAGTGTTGCATTCAAGTTATTCAATGTATAGCGGGAGTATAATTGTCAGTACTCAAATTACTCAAATTACTAGAGTACTCAAATTTTATTCATTTTACTTATTGCTCGTTTGTTGCTCGGCTCGTTTGTTGTATCTCGAAGCAAAGTCTTTAAATTTGTGCTGATCTCAAGCCATTTTGCCTACAAAATTAATTATCGCCGGGCATAACCCGTAAGAATCCATCAATCCAAGAATCCATCAATCCCAGAATCCATTTTAGTGTCCCTGCTGAGCAGTCGCATCTTTTGTCTATTGTTGTTGGTATTGTTGGAGAGAAAAATCGAAATGAAGCTGGTTTTTTGTCTTTTTCTCTTTCTATTCTTTGCGTATCCAATGACATCGATCGGCGTTCGGCAAAAAGTGGGTATTTTGAATTTTCCATGAGCTTAAAACCCTAGAAACGACGTGCTAATTGTTTATAATTTTTGAGTTGAGTGAGTTGAGTCTTTTAAAAAGCAGATACTTTGCATAAGCAACTGCCGAGTGCAAATAGCTCTCAATGAACCAAGAAGTTCCCAATGAACCAAGAAATTTACCAAGAAGTACCGAAAAAGTTTAGCGTCAGCTTGGCGGTTTTCTCCCTCGCCTCGGGATCCCACGAGTCCCTCCTCGAGTCACTCCGCAGCAAGGCTCAAGCGTTGGCTATGGCATTCCAAGGGTATAAAATTATGAATTGAATCTAAATTGAATTTGAATTTAGAAATTATGAACTGAATTTGTTCCCTAAATTCTGAATTTATGAATTCAATTGAAGGGTAATTTTTAGAAAAGTGGCAAAAATCTTTGGGATCAACTCCTTGGGACAAAGCCACAGCCAATTTAACTGTTGAACTTGTTGAAGCCAATTTGTTGAAGCCAACTTGTTGAAGTCAACTTGTTGAAGATGCAAATATTTTTCTATATGATCCAAATAAACTTTAAAAGTTACAAGTACACCAATTGGCCAATTAAATACACCAATTGGCCAATTTTAAAGCATATCATATATACCAAATATGAGCCTCCAAACTTTTGTGGGGTTTTGCACAAGCCCTTGCCTCCAAAATTGACCAGACACTGAGACGACCTGATGAGAAACACTTAGCAATCGCGCGTTCACCTTGACGGAATTTATGGGGAATACTTGTCCGAGTTGTCTACAAGAATCAGACGTTTTTTCACTAAAAGCATCGATCTATTTGGCCTGTAACGATCTCGACGTCTCTACCCTTCAAAACCTCATCACTTCAATCGATCTGTTTGGCCTGTAACGATCTCGACGTCTCTACTCTTCAAAACCTCATCACTTCAATGTCAAGCCGAATTTCTAGATTTTAAGACACGCTCTTTTCAATAGAAAAGAAATAATAGTTGCAGTGTTGTTCAAAATGAAGAAAATCTATATTTTGGAGAGCAGATAGGAAAAGCTCCAGACGATGAAGCTCCAGAATGGCAGATTGCTTGTTTGTCATCCTATAAAAAATGAATAGACTTGAAACAAAGTAAAAAACAAAGAAACTAATAAAACAATCCGTACATAACTGTTGAACTTGTTGAAGCTGCAATTCTTTTTCTATATGATCCAAATAAACTTTTAAAGTTACAAATACACCAATTGGCCAATTAAATACACCAATTGACCAATTTGAAAGCATATCATATATACCAAATGTTCAAAAACTTTAGATACAATTTGTAAAATTCGGAATTCAATTCAAATTCAATGAAATCACCATGAAATGCTCGTTTTCGGATACCTAAGTTTCAAGTTTAGTTCGAAAATTGTTTTCATCCTTTTTGAGAGTCGTTCTTTTTGAGTGAAATGTGTTTTGTTTCCGAAAAAAAAAAGTTTCCGATCACCCTGTATAGAGTCGACGAGCAGAAAATCAATGAAAGATTTCAAAAATGATCGAGTCGATTTTAGTGGAGGTTGGCAAGAGGAATTGCTTGCTTGAATATTGCTTTTCAAAAACGCTATTCGAGTGTGATTCAAAAAGTGAAACAAGCCAAACCAGGAACTGATTGTGAGAGAGTTTTTGAAGCCCCCAAAATAAACTGACCCTTGAATAGGACAATCACTAAATTATAGTTCTGATGCCAATTTTGATTTTGACAATGTGTCTGAAAAACTGAACCCATTGTGTCCTTTCCTCGTTATTTTCCGTGTCCTTTCCTGGTTCAGACACAAATGCCAACTTCCTGACAAAAAAAAGTGAATTTGAATGAGGTTCCGGTTCAGCAAGAGTTCCGGTTTAGCAAGGGAAACACTCGTACCTATAAATATGAAGAGTGGGATGGTTTGAAGTCAGAAATGAAATCTCCGATGGGTTCATTGCTTCAATATGCTTTCATTACTATATCGGCTTTGATATTGATACAGCTTGGAGTCACAGTGACAGCCACGAGTTGTGAGTCATTAGATTTTCTTGGTTTCTTTTGCAATTTATTAATTTGAGTACAGCTTTGATGGAATCAGTAAAGCTAACAATAGAATAGCAATAGAAATAGATCATTGCTTGAGACAGGCTAGCCTTGGATCAAATCAGATCCAAGTCTGACCTTGTTTTAGCTTATCCTGGCCTGATCAGACCCTTCATAGGAGTCACCGTGACAGCCACGAGTTGTGAGTCACTAGATTTTCTGATCAAATTAGAGGTGATCAGATCCTTCATAGGGTCTGATCACCTCTAATTTGGCCTGAGGTTGGCCTCTACTTTGGCCTCATGAAACCTCCATTCTTCTGACTTTTACTAAAAGTCTCGAGGATTCAGAATGCTAATCTCAAATATATGATTCACTTCGGCCAATGTAACTGTCAATTTTGACCCTTTAAGCCTGTTCAACCTGCACACAAACAAGCCCAACGCTCACCATTGATACGACAAGCTCTGGATCAGCTCCGTTTGATAGCGGTGAGACTCATTAGATGTATTCTTTGTAATAATCTTGATTGAATTGCCAAAACAAAGTAATCAAAGGATAATTATCCTGTTCAGATGTTATGGGAACGGATGGAAATGGACGTGTGACAAGAACGCTAACTTGTACATCAACAGTTGCTGGGTATGCTGCATATATCTCGGTGAGTCTTTGAAATTCGTTTATGTTTGATGTTTGATGACTTTGAGTTCAAGCTGTAATTGGTTATTTTCCAAAAATATGAGAACTTTAGTGTAATTCGGATGTAAATGGAGTAATCGAAGGAACTCCATCAGTTGTGGCAAATCTTACATGCACCGGCGCTGAATGGGATTTGACTTACAATGGGGCAACTGCAGCAATTTCGACATTGGGATGTTTTCCGATAACTTGTGCTATGTACCCAGATCTCTGTGACTCAACAACAACAACAACTACTACAACAACGACGACTACTACAACTACCACTACCACAACAACGACCACAGATACAACTACTACAACAACAACAGCCACGACGACGAGTACCACAACTACAACTCCATCTACAACAACAACTACTGTAACCTGTGGTGTTTGCCCTTCTACAGGTGATTGCGGTTCACATTCTTAAGCTTACAAATCGTTTATTTCTTTGCAAAACTTGATTTCAGGATACTGGTCATCTTGGTACAATCAAGACAGCTGTATCCCGTCGTGGACATGGATTCAAGTGGCCACAATTGGACAGTCAAACTACAGTAGAACTCAGCAAAATTTCACTTGTGGTATGCACGGACGGCAAGTGCAAGTCAGAGATTGCGTCTCGGCTCAACGTGGATGTCCTTGCGTGTGAGTTGTTTTGCTGCAAACTGCAAAAAAAGCTAGGCTAGCCATTGAAATAGACTCACTAATTGTCGAATTCTAGTGGTGATAACGTTCGACAAGTGGCTTGTGGCGATCCAACGGTTTGCTCAATGCCCCAACTCCCTGGTATCACTTGTGCCACTGGATACAGGTAAGCTAAAGATACTGTAGCTGAATTTGGATACTAGATATGTCGCTGGGAACGGGGCAAAGACTTTTTGGAACTCTAAACATGATTTTCAGCTTGTCCGGATCAACTTGCATCCAGACAACTGTCACCACAGATGCCCCAGTGATCCCAGATCCTTCTGAGAACAATCCGGATTGTGGTAAGTTAGCCGAAATTTTTTATTCTTACAGTTAAATACTCTAAATCGCATTCTTTCAGTGGTTTCCCCAACTTGTCCTTGCCCATCGGGTGGTGCGTGGAGCGATTGGCAGTTGATTTCAACTTCCCCGTGCCCAATGATTCCCAACTATCAATACAATACAACAAGTGGACAAAATTATGCCGCAACAGCTTGTGGATCGTGTCAAACACAATTGGAAGAGAGGACTTGCACATCGGCAACTCGTGGATGTTCTTGCACGTAAGTTTGTAAGAAGCGAGACTAAGAGCGGGCAACCATACTCAGAGTACAATAAGGATAGCCTTATTGTACTCTGTACAATAACCTACAAGATCTTGTCAAATAAACTCTCTGAGGCTGCTCATGCTAATGTACCAACTTGAAATCTAGTCAGACCAGTTAGTAACTGATTGCAAAGGCAAACTCAAACTCAAATATTGTAAGGAAACAACAACTTCAAGAATTCCTGAATTAGCATGGCAGTTGTTGCAAGCACGTACACTACAGTAGATAAACAGAACCGATAAACCGATTTTCTTTTCAAAATCTCTTAAAAACTGTGGATCCCAGTGAATCTTTTGGTATGGCGGGGATCAAGGAGGAGGCAGGTGTCTGCCTCTAGACCCAGGCCAGTTGGAGTCAGGGTAGGTATTAGCTGAATAACGTCAGCTAACCTTACGTCGGCTAACTAGCCTCGATCTGGCTTGTCTATTCAACACAAAAGCATTGGCTGATAATCAATGACAAATTAGACGGGAATTGTTTTGTATTGAAAAGTTTACCATAACTTACAACATTTGCATCGTAATAGCTCCCATCATTTGCAGCTTACAACATTTGCATGCGTAATAGCTCCCAAATCCAATTACACTCGTGCGATGCTAATCAACTATAATACCTCTTAAACTTAAGCTTTCTTATATCTCTTGACAATGAAAAATTGTAGACACTACAACTTTGGCCATTTTACTCAAATAGCATGTAATTTTATTAATGTATCATATCATTTTAGTGGTTTACCATATCGCTGGAAGCGTTGCAACCCGGTTCTCTGTGTTTATCCAACATTGGTCTGTTGTAATGATGTCGATGGAATTGCGAGACAAGTCAACTATTCAACGGTAACAGAAAATCAATGTCAACTTTCAATTCCAATTCCAGAAGCGATATGAATGTCTTCCAACCCCATCAAATCTCTGGAATGACACAACAACGTCACCCGATCCATGGTCAACAAATAACTGTAAGTTTTACAGGTTTGACTAACTATAGCTGATAATTTCAGGCCCTACCTCCACCAGTACTACTACAACTACTACAGCGACAACTGATACTACAACAACTACAACGACAACTACCACTATGACCACAACAACCACTGCAACTGACACCACAACCACCACTACCACTACCACAACAACGACCACCGATACAACTACTACAACAACGACAGCCACGACGACGAGTACCACAACTACAACTCCATCTACGAATACCACAACTACAACTCCATCTACGAGTACCACAACTACAACTCCATCCACGACAACAACTACTGTAACCTGTGGTATTTGCCCTTCTACAGGTGATTGTGGTTCACATTTTCAAGCTTACAACTCGTTTATTTCTTTTCAAAATTTGATTTCAGGATACTGGTCATCTTGGTACAATCAAGACAGCTGTATCCCGTCGTGGACATGGATTCAAGTGGCCACAATTGGACAACCAAACTACAGTAGAACTCAGCAAAATTTCACTTGTGGTATGCACGGACGGCAAGTGCAAGTCAGAGATTGCGTCTCGGCTCAACGTGGATGTCCTTGCGTGTGAGTTGTTTAGCTGCAAACTGGTTGCCACGCAAAAAGCTAGGCTAGCTAGGCTAGCTAGCCATTGAAATAGACTCACTAATTGTCGATTTCTAGTGGTGATAACGTTCGACAAGTGGCTTGTGGCGATCCAACGGTTTGTTCAATGCCCCAACTCCCTGGTATCACTTGTGCCACTGGATACAGGTAAGCTAAAGATACTGTAGCTGAATTTGGATACTAGATATATCGCTGGGAACGGGACAATGGCTTTTTGGAACTATAAACATGATTTTCAGCTTGTCTGGATCAACTTGCATTCAGACAACTACCACCACAGATGCCCCAGTGAATCCAGATCCTTCTGAAAACAATCCGGATTGTGGTAAGTTAGCCGAAAATTTTTATTCTTACAGTTAAATACTCTAAATCGCATTCTTTCAGTGGTTTCCCCAATTTGCCCATGCCCATCGGGTGGTGCGTGGAGCGATTGGCAGTTGATTTCAACTTCCCCGTGCCCAATGATTCCCAACTATCAATACAATACAACAAGTGGACAAAATTATGCCGCAACAGCTTGCGGATCGTGTCAAACACAATTGGAAGAGAGGACTTGCACATCGGCGACTCGTGGATGTTCTTGCACGTAAGTTTGTAAGGAGTGAGACTAAAGGCGGGCAACCATACACAGAATACGGTAAGAATACTACTTCCAGCCCCATCAAATCCCTGGAATGACACCACAACAACCCCTGGTTACATAAACTCTCTAAGATGGGATGCTAATGTGCCAACTTCAAGCCTAGTGTGTTATTAACTGATTGAAAGCCAAACTCAAACTCAAATATTGTAAGGATAACTTGAACAATTCCCTAATTAGCAAGACAGTTGTTGCAAGCACATACATTACAGTTGACTCGTGCGATGCTGATCAACTATAATACCTCTTAAACTTAAGCTTTCTTATACTCTTGATAGTTAAAAAATGTAGACACTACAACTTTGACCATTTTAGCCAAATAGCATGTAATTTTATTAATGTATCATATCGTTTTAGTGGTTTACCATATCGCTGGAAGCGTTGCAACCCGGTTCTCTGTGTTTATCCGACATTGGTCTGTTGTAATGATGTCGATGGAATTGCGAGACAAGTCAACTATTCAACGGTAACAGAAAATCAATTTCAACTTTCAATTCCAATTCCAGAAGCGATATGAATGTCTTCCAACCCCATCAAATCTCTGGAATGACACAACAACATCAACCGATCCATGGCCAACAAATAACTGTAAGTTTTCCAGGTTTGACTAACGATAGGTGATAATTTCAGGCCCAACCTCCAGCACCACTTCTATCACAACCGTTTTTGAATGAATCAAAAGCAAAAGATGTCTTTCTAATCGAAGAATTCTATGTTACCTCTGCAAAGCACTTAATACCTTTGTTAATTCCCCATGTCAGTCTTTCAAAGGCCTAATATTTGTATAATAAATGTTTACTTGAGTTTCGATCACATTCTGACTCTGCATTCTCTGCATTCTCTGCATATTTTCCAAGCCAAACACTGTAAAGCTCAAGATAATTTGGGTATTTTAAAAACAACCGATATTTCAGATGGAAAATCCCTTGGATTGAAATTTAAAATGCTTTTAAACGGGACGTCGCTGTCTGAACAATAGAAAACCCGATTGATTCCCAATTTTACCCATTGTCAGTCAAATCTCTCCATTCAGTTTTTTGGGTTTTCCGTTCAGATGTTGATGTCCGAATCGTGAATATCAGTTTTTCAATTTTTTAAAAATATTTTAGAAAAATCGGTAGCAGTTTAACCCATTCGAAACTTCTGCAGCAAAAACTCAGAAACGGACCGCTGAAGCGCTAATTTGCTGCAGCGCTAATTGAGCTGTTTTCATTCAATTAATTGGTTTTTTTCTTGCTGTTTTTCGGCATTACATGTATCTTCCAATTGTAACATATCTACAAATTAGGTGGGCAAAACAGACATATTTACCATATTGTCATATTTACCCGGAATCAATGCAGCCTCTGGTTTTGCATTGAAATTTTCCATAATAGCTCTAATCTTATATAGCTGATCTCCTGCAGGATCCAGTTCATTATCACAAAAACGCAGGTTTCGAAGAATAGATTCAAATTTTGCTCTTGACATAATGTGGGACATGTGGGAAAATCCTCCTAATTCAGGCTTGCTACTCCAGTAGTCACGAATCCTCGGTAATTTGCCAGAGATACAGAGCCAGGAAGAGCTTGAAAGATTTTGCATCGAAATCCTGCCAGTTTGTTTTCCTTTTTCCATGTTTATTAGACTCGCCTACTAACATATTGATTAATTTGTCGTCGATAAAATAAGAATAATAATCAATAGGATCTTGAAAAGTACTGAAGTCAAATCCAAATCGTTCTTCATCAAAAATAAATGGTTGAGGAGGATAAATGGTATTCGCTGCAGCGCTAATTCGCTGCAGCGCTAATTCGCTGCAGCGCTAATTCGCTGCAGCGCTAATTCGCTGCAGCGCTAATTCGCTGCAGCGCTAATTGAGCTATTTTCATTCAATTAATTGTTTTTTTTTGCTGTTTTTCGGCATTACATGTATATTCCAATTGTAACAGATCTACAAATTAGGTGGGCAAAAAAGACGTGTCATATTTACCCGGAATCAATACAGCCTCTGGTTTTGCATTGAAATTTTCCATAATAGCTCTAATCTAATCGCTCTAATCATAATAGCTCTAATCTAATCTAATGAAAGTAAATCTTGCTTAATATTTTTGCTTTATGAATTGTTTTATTTTTTTGTATTCACTAAGTTTTATTCACTTTTCAACAATTTATTGCAAACATATAATAAGTAAACAAGCCTAACAACAAAGAAATTAATTCACTTCCCTCAGGTGCAAGACAACAAAATCAAGTTTAACTAAAACTTGAGAGGAACACACTCTAGAAAACACATTGTTAGATGTAAATCTAAAAATATAAACAATTGATACTTCTCGATAACACTGAACGTTTTTATGCAAATTTTCTCAAATGATCACAGAAAAAAAAGTGATAAACTTAAACGTTTTTTTATTAGGTTCGCAAGTTATAAACAATCGTTTTTGGGTAATGTGTTTTCTGAAAAAACGGCTTATCCAATCAAAAAACGGTTTGCTTAATCCAAAAGCCCTATCCTTAATCTACAAAATGGCTTTTTTGAATTTTTGAAAAATGTTTTATTTTAGAACTTTCTCAGGCATTTTAATGTAAGAGTTGAAAATCCTGGTTTCTAGCATTCATGAGCTAATATATTATTGAGCTATTTTTGAGTGATTGGATACTTTTTAAAATAAAACGCTTCATCGATTACATAGTTTCCCAAAATTTCAGAATAATCCAATCGATCGAACCGTTCTCTTTCTTTCAATCTTTTTTTTTTAAATCTTGCTTAAATTCCAAGGAAATGAATTAAATTAGCAAAAAAGTGCATTTTGAGCACTTTTGTGTTTGTGTAATTTGAAAATCAACCTTCCGAAGATTGGATTGCTTAAATAAATGCTAGATCAGGGTTCCACCTAAAGATTGTACAGGGTGGCTGAAAATTACGTGCGCGCAGCATCAGCATCATAGTTTTAAACAATGTATAAAGCATTACTACTCATATTTTTGTGTTTTAATATTCTTTTTATCGTTGTCTATTAATTTTTTGTTAAAAAAGTTGTTTTCTAAGTCATGACAAAGACGTGCGCTAGTCGGGACGCGTATACATTTCTATACATTTAGCGTAGATGAGTTTGAAAAGTTCTTAATCTTAATCTTGATTAAATCTTAATACCATCTGTTTCCATACCACTCTATTATTAGGTTGGCAAGTTATAAACGATCGTTTTTGGGTAATGTGTTTTCTGAAAAAACGGCTTATCCAGTCAAAAAACAGTTTGCTTAATCCAAAAGCCCTATCCTTAATCTACAAAATGGCTTTTTTGAATTTTTGAAAAATGTTTGATTTTAGAACTTTCTCAGGTATTTTAATGTAAGAGTTGAAGATCCTGGTTTCTAGCATTCATGAGCTAATATATTTTTTGAGTGATTGCATACTTTTTAAAGGTTGATTAAAGGAAGGTTGATTTTCAAATTAGGCTCAAAATGCACTTTATAGAAATGTATACGCGTCCCGACTAGCGCACGTCTTTGTCATGACTTAGAAAACAACTTTTTTAACAAAAAATTAATAGACAACGATAAAAAGAATATTAAAACACAAAAATATGAGTAGTAATGCTTTATACATTGTTTAAAACTATGATGCTGATGCTGCGCGCACGTAATTTTCAGCCACCCTGTACAATTTTTAGGTGGAACCCTGATCTAGCATTTATTTAAGCAATCCAATCTTCGGAAGGTTGATTTTCAAATTACACAAACACAAAAGTGCTCAAAATGCACTTTTTTTGCTAATTTAATTCATTTTCGTTTGAATTTAAGCAAGATTTTAAAAAAAAGATTAAAAGAAAGAGAACGGTTCGATTGATTGGATTATTCTGAAATTTTGGGAAACTATGTAATCGATGAAGCGTTTTATTTTAAAAAGTATCCAATCACTCAAAAAGTGATGTCAAAGAATGCACAAAAAGTCAAAATTAATGATGGAAACGTTTCAAATATAGGAAAAAAAAACATTAGGTGCCCATTGAATTCACACAAATCTTTTCAAAATCTTGATCTCTTGCGAGTTGCACAGTTCCTTATACTTGAAAAATAATAGAAAGTAACATTTTCAAATGTACCCAACCTTCTAAATGCTGGATTTTTAAACTTGAGCCTATTTTTCTCACATTTATCGGTCCCTCAACAACACTTTGAAATATAATAAAACGATTCTTGTTCCCATTTGTTTGCCGATCAACGCTTGAGAAGCTTGGCAAGAGTTTATTGCCTAGATAAGACAATCAGCAACAAAGAACCCACAATGCCGCGTTTATTCGCACACAACAAAGCCGCCTATCTTGGGAAAGGAATTTCGTTTCAGCAAATTTTTTCTCAGCTCTCAACTTAACAATAGAGCATTCTTTTGCAGAGATCATAAACTACAAAAGTTTAGTTTCTAGGCTCGGGCATGATTAACATGTTAAATAAGTGATTGTCAATACAAGACAAGGAATTCTTGACTCGCTACAAGATGAAACCAAGCATTATCTTGGTAACATTTTTTATCAAGAGGAGCCCATACTAGTAAAGAAAATCTATGAAGCACCTTACTCGTTAGATTTCACACTTCTTCACTCCCATTTATCATCAACAGAATTGTCAAGATAAGCCGTGTCGGGTGAACTCCCAGAATACCACGGTATTTGCCCCATAGAAGCACTCTTATCTCCACAATAAAACCCCAAAAGAAGACTGAACTTTGTCAAAGAAGAAACGGGATTAAAAGCTGCAATAAAGAGAAAACGCCGTTTCTAAAACAAAAGCGATAAGAGTTAATTTCAAACTTCTTTTTTCAAGTTACCACGTTAAGCACGACGGACCTATATCCGAGAAAACAAAAAATTAAATGCCCATAGATCCAAAAAACACACAAAATGCCAAATATAATACTTTCTTTCTAGAGTTTCATCTGTTTCTTTCATGGATGAAGTTCGTTATGTCAAGCTTCAGAGAATGATTTTGGAAATGGTAGTTGAATGTTTCGAATCCTTGAGGTGTATTCAACTTGGATCCTTTAAACAATCTTTCAAACGCATCAATAGGTCTAAGTCAAGAAACCCCTTCGTTCGGAAGTCGCTAAATAATTCCAATAAGTTCCTTTCCCCGTTAGAAGTACGAGACTCTAGAACTCAGCCGAGCAAAATTAGAGCCATTCATAATTCTATTCACTTTCAGAATCCGATAGTTTAGATCTTAAACATTTGCTATCTTGTGCAGGTTAATTCTCATTCATCTGTCAGCTTGTCATCAATTTCTGATCATCATATTTCATGCTTCTTATTTTCTTATCTGCAAATTATCTTCTGAGCATTTGGTTGTGTTCTCGCCTTTGTCTTGAATAGAGAATCATATAGTCAGAGCCCATCAAGATCATTTATTCTTGGTCCCTGCTTTGTGCAATTACAGGAGAATCTTTTGTTCGACTCAATGCTCAAATTCTTAGTTCAAGATAAGAGTGCTGTACGTGCACAAAAAAGCGAAAAGCTTTACACAAAGATAAGTTTTTTTGCTGGGTCGACACAGTAAACAATGGAGGGTAAAATGAACAGTAACAACAAAGAGACATTGAAACGTTTTCAAGTATTTTTGTACCCCATCCTAGAATTACCGATTGTAAAACTTTTTTGAGCATTTGTAGCTGAATATAGAACATTTCCAAAGTTGAACACTTACGAAGTGACAAATCTTTTTGAGTTAGTGCAAGAACGGGTAGATAGGAAAGTGGATTTCTAGCTCAGAATGGCTTAGGACTCGTCATTATACCCGGCCAAATGATGTTTAAAGTGCAAAGTCGATGAAAAACAGGCACACTAAATGATTGGAAACTGGGAATTTTCGCTTTTAAACTCTTAAACCGATCAAACAGAAAAAGCAGCTGGTAGACCTGACATTTTGGTCTTGAATTAAAGCGTTCTTTAAAAGAATTGTTAGTTTTAAAATGATGGTCGTTCGTTCGTTGACCCTCTGGTTTTCTTAGATTTTTTGAGTTCCATCATTTTAAAACTAATTGCATTCAACTACTGTTTAACTGCAGATTAACTGTTTTAAAAACTGCAGGAAAAGCTTAGCGAAGTTGATTGATGAGCCAAAATGATTTCACGTTTAGAAAGTAGTGAAGATTCCTAGTTCTAGCTTTACCATGGCCAGAATTGTGAACAGATGAAGAGGAAACTGTGCTCTGGTTTGTTCTCGAAGATCGATGATAGGCTTTCATTGTTATGTTATTGTTATTGTTATTGTTCCATTGTATGTCTGTGTCTGTGTCAATCAATAAGATGCAATTCGATGAATGATTAAATTAAGGGTAATTCTTTATTCTATTCATCTAGTAAATTGGAGTAAATTCACTTCTAAATTGCCCGATATGCTCTCTAATAGGCATCCGTTGTTGTCAAAACTTGCCTAATAGCTTATTTTGTAGCCAATTTGGTGCTGGTTGAGTTGAAACGGTCAACTAGCCGTCAAATTGGCGAACAGGCATCGAGCCACCACCAATCGCGGTCACCGCCAAAAAGAAACTACCGGCAATAATGCTAACACTGATGACGAGATGGTTAAAGCCGATAACGATGTCGTTCTACCTTTATGGGCTTTAGTTGATGAGGCACTAAGGAAGATTAAATTATTGTTATTGTTCCATTGTATGTCTGTGTCTGTGTCTGTGTCAATCAATAAGATGCAATTCGATGAATGATCAAATTAAGGGTAATTCTTTATTCTATTCATCTAGTAAATTGCAGTAAATTCGCTTCTAATTTGCCCGATATGCTCTCTGATAGGCATCCGTTGTTGTCGGATCATATCCAATCAAGGAAAGGCTGAACGTTTTCCACGAAAACAGCCACGAAGTGAAATGTTGTCGGAGCTTTCGACTGACTATTATTCCAATCCAAGCCTCAGACATTGTTCCAAAATCGGAGACAATGTTCAACTAAATTAAAGTGAACTTTTTGAGTTTTGGGATCATTTGAATGAATGAACGAGCCGCAAAAAAGTTGCCATCAAGATAACTAAACTTTAAGCAAGAAAAAAAGTGAAGAAAGATATGATGGGAAGAAAAATTGGGAAATAGAAATTCATTCTTATTGATTGAACCTGAAACTCACTGAATCCAACTCTATTTCGAACAATTGCAATTAATTTTTGAGATTCACAAGGGAAGGCCCCAACTGGCTAAGCCAAATGCTAGATGACCTATACAATGCTAGATGACCTAAATGTGTTCCTCGCGAGTAAGTAATTACTCGAGTAAAATTTGCGAGTATTAATGAGTGATTTTTATTAGTAGATTTAAGTAATTTTTAGAAAATAAGAGTAATTTTTACTCGATTAATCGGCGTTTTTGGTGGAGTAACTACGAAGTAATCCTCATTTCACGTCGAGTAAATTGAAAATCTTTACTTGGGAAGAGAATTTATTTGCCACCAAATCAGTCAAACGGCCGGATATCTTTAGAAGGCGGCGTATATAAGGCGGCGTATATAAGGCGGCGTATATAAGGCGGCGTATACAAGGCGGCGTATGTAGGGCGGCGTGTATAAGGCGGCGTGTATAAGGCGGCGTGTATAAGGCGGCGTGTATAAGGCGGCGTGTATAAGGCGGCGTGTATAAGGCGGCGTGTATAAGGCGGCGTGTATAAGGCGGCGTGTATAAGGCGGCGTGTATAAGGCGGCGTATATAAGGCGGCGTATACAAGGCGGCGTATGTAGGGCGGCGTGTATAAGGCGGCGTGTATAAGGCGGCGTGTATAAGGCGGCGTGTATAAGGCGGCGTGTATAAGGCGGCGTGTATAAGGCGGCGTGTATAAGGCGGCGTGTATAAGGCGGCGTGTATAAGGCGGCGTGTATAAGGCGGCGTGTATAAGGCGGCGTGTATAAGGCGGCGTGTATAAGGCGGCGTATATAAGGCGGCGTATATAAGGCGGCGTATACAAGGCGGCGTATGTAGGGCGGCGTGTATAAGGCGGCGTGTATAAGGCGGCGTATATAAGGCGGCGTATATAAGGTGGCGTGTATAAGGCGGCGTATATAAGGCGGCGTATACAAGGCGGCGTGTATAAGGCGGCGTGTATAAGGCGGCGTGTATAAGGCGGCGTGTATAAGGCGGCGTGTATAAGGCGGCGTGTATAAGGCGGCGTGTATAAGGCGGCGTATATAAGGTGGCGTGTATAAGGCGGCGTATATAAGGCGGCGTATACAAGGCGGCGTATGTAGGGCGGCGTGTATAAAGCGGCGTGTATAAGGCGGCGTATATAAGGCGGCGTATGTAGGGCGGCGTGTATAAGGCGGCGCGTATAAGGCGGCGTATATAAGGCGGCGTATGTAGGGCGGCGTGTATAAGGCGGCACGTATAAGGCGGCGTATATAAGGCGGTGTATGTAGGGCGGCGTGTATAAGGCGGCGTATATAAGGCGGCGTATATAAGGCGGCGTATATAAGGCGGCGTATATAAGGCGGCGTATATAAGGCGGCGTATATAAGGCGTCATATATAAGGCGGCGTATATAAGCGCCGTGTATAAGGCGGCGTGTATAAGGCGGCGTGTATAAGGCGGCGTGTATAAGGCGGCGTGTATAAGGCGGCGTGTATAAGGCGGCGTATATAAGGCGGCGTATACAAGGCGGCGTATGTAGGGCGGCGTGTATAAGGCGGCGTGTATAAGGCGGCGTGTATAAGGCGGCGTGTATAAGGCGGCGTGTATAAGGCGGCGTGTATAAGGCGGCGTGTATAAGGCGGCGTGTATAAGGCGGCGTGTATAAGGCGGCGTGTATAAGGCGGCGTATATAAGGCGGCGTATATAAGGCGGCGTATATAAGGCGGCGTATACAAGGCGGCGTATGTAGGGCGGCGTGTATAAGGCGGCGTGTATAAGGCGGCGTATATAAGGCGGCGTATATAAGGTGGCGTGTATAAGGCGGCGTATATAAGGCGGCGTATACAAGGCGGCGTATGTAGGGCGGCGTGTATAAAGCGGCGTGTATAAGGCGGCGTATATAAGGCGGCGTATGTAGGGCGGCGTGTATAAGGCGGCGCGTATAAGGCGGCGTATATAAGGCGGCGTATGTAGGGCGGCGTGTATAAGGCGGCGCGTATAAGGCGGCGTATATAAGGCGGTGTATGTAGGGCGGCGTGTATAAGGCGGCGTATATAAGGCGGCGTATATAAGGCGGCGTATATAAGGCGGCGTATATAAGGCGGCGTATATAAGGCGGCGTATATAAGGCGGCGTATATAAGGCGTCATATATAAGGCGGCGTATATAAGGCGGCGTATATAAGCGCCGTGTATAAGCATCGTGTATAGGCGGGATACTTCTTTAAAAAATGCGAGTTTTCCACTTTTACATGACTCCCAATACATGAAATGAGCCACTATGGTCGTCGTCACTAGAGTCATCACTGCGTTCCTCGCGAGTAAGTAATTACTCGAGTAAAACTTGCATGAGTAATTTTTACTCGATTAATCGACGTTTTTGGTCGAGTGACTACGAAGTAATCCTCTTTACACGTCGAGTAAATTGAATCTTTTTACATTTGAAGGGAATTTGCCACCAAATCAATTAAATGGCTGAATATCTTTAAAAAAGTCGTACATAAGTCGTCGCCCGTGATTTTTTGCGCCAATTTTTCGCAATAATTTCCGCTAAAAGTACGGTAATTTTTCGTAGTACGTTTTAAAAAACGCATTACTTGTGAGAAACACACTTTAACCTATACCATTAAACGCAGAATTTTATGCTGATTCCGAATAGATTTTCCGTTTTTGCTAAATGCCAATCTGCCAAGAGTTATAAGCGTCTAAAGTTTTGTTAGAACTTTATGGTCAATTGGGTCTTAGCGGTCTCCTTGTGGACATGGCTCAGTGCAGCCGTGGGGGTGAGTGATACAGAGTTCGTTTCCAATGCGAGACCAGACCTTACAAAGAGCACTAGTCAGCAACTTGAAAAAATCAGACGAAAAATTCAAAGTGGGGACCGAACTTGTGAGGTCTCGCTCTGGTCACGCCTTGGAAACAAAAGCTGTACCACTCGGCCACGGCTGCAGCGAGCCAGGTCCGCAAGGAGACCGCTAAGACCCAATTGGCCATAAAGTCCTAACAAAACTTTAGATGCGTATAACTCCTGGTAGATTTCCATTTAGCAAAAACGGAATAGATATTCGGAATCAGCATAAAATTCTGCGTTGAATGGTATAGATCGAATAGTATTTTGCTCAGCCAATTGACCTTCCCTTGTCAATTTTGTTCTTTTCTTTTCTTACCATAAAAACGCGATACTCCGCATCAACCAAAAAGGCACCGTAGTCCTAAATTCGAGTTTGTTTTTTACAGTACTTTTGGGATAACTAACGACATAAAACATTAGAGCAAACTGAACGACGAGACTCGCCAAACAGATCAAAAACAAATTGAATTCCATTCTTTTACCGGAAGATTGGCTGGAAAGAAATTGATTCTTGTAGACATAGTCTGTTTTATCGATCTGCTTTATAATCTAAGCTAGGTGTAAACTGAGCCTGCGATCTGCTTGGATCACTATCTTCTGGGAGATTTAAATCTATTAGAAACCATGTGATTCAGCTTGATAAAGCTGCTTTCACAAATTGAACTCCATTATTTTACCGGCAGATTGGCTGGAAAGAAATTGATTCTTGTAGACATAGCCTATTTTATTCACCTGCTTTATAATCTAGATTAGGTGTAAACTGAGCCTGCAATCTGTTTGGATCTGCTGGGAGATTTAAATCTACTACAAAATCACGTGATTCAGCTTGATAAAGCTGCTTTCACCAGAGTCGAGCTCAAGGAAATCAAGCTGGGTTTTATTGTTGTGGACCGGCTTACACTGATGTTTAGATCCGGTTAGTCGCAAAGATGAAAGTCTGAGTTCCGAAACAAATAGATCTGCTTAAAATAGATCCGCAATGCAGATGCTTTAAAAAACTATTACCGTAAATATTTTATTATACAGGGTGACCAAGAATTACCGCAACAACTTTTTGGAAGAGTATCTGGGAAATGTCTAATTTATTTCAAAAATGGCAAGTGTTATACAGAGAATTGTAGGCCTAATTCTCGGCAACATTTATCTACCAAAAACATCCCGATTGGACTTATGCAACTCATTTAACAAGCGCTGGAATGAGCGCTAGTCGACATTTGGCCACTTTTAGTCGACAGTTGAATATGTCATTTGGCCACTTTTCTAAATGAAAAAATTCCATTCGGAAAAGTTTTTCTCAGTCAAATTTGCTTTTCCTATCAATTTTTAATAGAGAAAAGTGGCCAAATGGCAGATTCGCCGGAGAGATATCGACTAGCGCTCATTCAAGCGCTTGTTAAATGAGTTGTATAAGTCCAATCGGTCCAATTTATTCAATCCGCTAGAAAATTAGCTTTTGAATGAGTTATTACACGTCCAGATCGGGAAATTCAAGCGGATTGAATAAATTGGACCGATTGGACTTATACAACTCATTTAACAAGCGCTTGAATGAGCGCTAGTCGATATCTCTCCGGCGAATCTGCCATTTGGCCACTTTTCTCTATTAAAAATTGATAGGAAAAGCAAATTTGACTGAGAAAAACTTTTCCGAATGGAATTTTTTCATTTAGAAAAGTGGCCAAATGACATATTCAACTGTCGACTAAAAGTGGCCAAATGTCGACTAGCGCTCATTCCAGCGCTTGTTAAATGAGTTGCATAAGTCCAATCGGGATGTTTTTGGTAGATAAATGTTGCCGAGAATTAGGCCTACAATTCCCTGTATAACACTTGCCACTTTTGAAATAAATTAGACATTTCCCAGATACTCTTCCAAAAAGTTGTTGCGGTAATTCTTGGTCACCCTGTAGTATCACTCCCATGTACAGTCTCGTAGTCTAACTTCTTTCTCTCATTTTTTCATTTTTCCAACTACACTTTTAGTATCAAAAAATACTAGATTTCAAGAGCTATCATTTGACACAAAAGCGCACACTTTAGCATAAAGCAGCGCGGAGAATTCGATGTTCAAAGTTAGACTAAGCGACTGTACGCTCTTCATTATGTCGGGACTTCTATTAGAGTATTTACGGTGGTTTTAAATTCTCATTTTTCTCATTCTCATTTACGATAAATATCCGGGTTTTCAGAATTCGGATTTTCAAGCAGCTTTGATGGTTATTTCAATCAATTCTTAACAATTCTTCAAAATAAACTCTCCTCACCTTTTCTTCACCGTTCTCATGTAAATCAGCTTGGCGAGACTGATCATATTGAGTAAAAAGGAAATTACTGGGTAGACATGGCTGAGACTCATTTCAGCCCAATAACAAATTGGTGTTTGCTAAAATGAGTTGATTAAATAAACGAGGAAACCCGCCTACGACTCCAAAGCACTCCAAAAAACACCAAAAACCGAACACCGAACAACTGGGGTATTTTTTGAAACAGTTTTTCAAATGGCACAACTACAATTTCACGGGATTCCGTTTCCCTCCTGCGCCCGCTAGAGCTTTAACTGACATTTTAAAATTATATACAATCGACTCTCGGTATAATGACTTTTGATTGAAAATGATTCAGAGCTTCGGTCCTGGCCGAGCTTCTAATAAAATCTGAAGATTCAACTCTCGATGTAATGATTCCAAAAAAAGAAAAATTCGATCTGTGCCATGTACAGGGTGACTAGAAATAACGTTGCGGTCTATTGGCTCCGATGCAGAGCCTCAAACGCTTGATGAAGTTTTCGGCGATGGACCGCAGCTCGGCCGGAGTGATTCGATCCCATTCCTTGGTCAACGATCGCTTAAAAGCCTCCAAACTTTTGTGGGGTTTTGCACAAGCCCTTGCCTCCAAAATTGATCAAAATTTTACAAGTGCGTATATCGGTCGTTTCCCAAAAAACTCACTTCTGCGCCCGCTAGAGCTTTAACGGACAGACTGACATTTTAAAATTATATACAATCGACTCTCGGTATAATGACTCTTGATTGAAAATGATTCAGAGCTTCGGTCCTGGCCGAGCTTCTAACAAAAAGATTCAACTCTCGATATAACGATTCGAAAAAAGAAAAATTTGATCTGTGCCATGTACATGGTGACTAGAAATAACGTTGCGGTCTATTGGCTCCGATGCAGAGCCTCAAACGCTTGATGAAGTTTTCGGCGATGGACCGCAGCTCGGCCGGAGTGATTCGATCCCATTCAAATTTGATCTGTGCTATGTATTTTCACTCTCGATACAATAACTCGCAAATTTTTAAAGATCGAAACAAAAAAGGAAAATTTCTAGATGTTTATTCTCTTATCTTTACGCTAAATTCTTAACGAAGGCAAAGCCGATGCTGCTGATGATGCCGATTTGCTGCTTTATCTTGTCTTAAGCGAAAATTTAGCTGTATATTCGAGCACACTTTAGCATAAAGCAGCGCGGAGAATGGATCGTTCAAAGTCGTTCAAAGTCGACGAGCGTACAGTCGACTACGCGACTGTACGCTCGTCATTATGAGAGTGACGTTCTATTAGGTTGATGCATAAGTCTTTTCGTTTTTTTCGTACTTCTGTTAAAAAGTAACAAATTCACCAATTAATCTATAGTTTGCTCTATAAAAAAAGTGTTTTTTTGTTCAATTTGCATCTTTTTAAATGAATTTCGGTTCACTTTCAAGCAAATTCGAGAGTGAAAAACGCCTTTTTCGTAAAAATCTATAAAAAACTCTACGGAAAAATTGGCTGAATGAATTTCTCTGAAATTTTGGCGAAATATCAAACTTTTTTTTCTCTATCTTTTATCTATTGACACGAAGATAGGTTTTCTTTAGCTAAGGTGTCTAAACCGCATCATCGAGTTAGCCCTTTTTGACTACCCGACTTCATACTCTCAAGAAAATCCAGGCATTAAATATTTTTAAACCCGTTTTAATGTTATTTTGCAGAAAAATAATTGGTTTTCTAATGAAATCAACCGTAGTTCAATTGGTGCATTTGTTACTCTTTAACAGAAGTACGAAAAAAACGAAAAGACTTATGCATCAACCTAATAGAATAAGAAATTCGATTAGAAAGAACTCTATTAGAGTATTTACGATAAATATCCGGGTTTTCAGAATTCGGATATTCAAGCGGCTTTGATGGTTTGTTAACAATGGCTTGTTAACAACAATCAATTGTTAACAATTCTTCAAAATGAGCTCTCCTTACCTTTTCTTTTTTTTAACAATAACAATTTTTATTCAAAATTTTGATCCCGACCTAATTGAAAACCTCGATACGAGTTTTCGATATAATGTTTTCCATTTTGTGATCCCGAGACTCGATTGTATAGGTTTGGATAGAGTTTAATTTACCAAGAGCCGATTGAGTGGGTTTGAAAGATATCCTGTTGGTGATAAAACATAGTATCCAGTGACGAAAAACATCTCCAAACAAATACCGAAACCAAAAAGAAAAATAGCAATGGTCATGGCACGAAAGTGGACGGGTCGCCAAATCTAGATTTTTTTAGAATGTTTAGTCGTTGAGCGCTTGTTTGTAAAGATTCATATTAGGTTCTTCGGATATAGACAAGCGTCGCTAAACTTATTGTTGTGAGAAAAGCTTTTAAAACATGTCTTTCTTTGTTTAAAAAGTACGTTATCTTGTGCATATTTGGAATCTTTTTAAACAGATAATTTCTTATTTTTAAGCTCTTTTTTTTCTTGCTTTAGATGACCGACTCAAAAATCAAGTTCGCGTATGTCTACTTTACGACTTCAAACTGGGCAAAAAAAGTCGCGTAATCAAATGCAATCGAATCAGTTCCATGTCAAACGGTGCGTGAACTTGCTCAACAGTTTCTATGTTCGAAATCTTTGACCAAATCCCATCGAGATTTGGTCAAAGCATTTGGGAATGATGTATTATCCAAAAGCCGATGCCGAGCCTGGTTCCGGACGCCTTTCGGAATGGTTGTGAAAGTCTCGAGTATGATGAACACTCTCGTCGACCTCAAGGGGTAGACAACGATATTTTGAGGGCTGCAATCGAACCGGATCCTTGTCAAACGACGCGTGAACTTGCTCAACAGTTTCTATGTTCAAATTCTACCATTGATGAGCCTCACCACGCCATTGGAAAGACGATCAGATGCGGGAAATAGCTTCCTCACGAGTTAAGCAGTGCAAACAAGGCTTCACGAGTCGCTATTGCCGGAATCCTCATCCGCTAAATATCATGGCTCTTTTGATTCTCTCGTTACTGGAGATGAGAAGTGGATCTATTTCGATGATACTATTCGGAAACGGCAATGGCTAGGACCAGGAGAACGGCCAAATCTGACCGTGAAACCGGACATTCAGGGGAAAAAGGTCATGCTCTCAGTCTGGTGGAATAATAAGAGCCTTGTGTATTTCGAGCCTCTACAACCCAGTCAAACAGCCACATCCGACCTCTACAAACATACTTTGAGGACTGCAATCGAATCGGATCCTTGTCAAACGACGCGTGAACTTGCTCAAGAGTTTCTATGTTCAAATTCTACTATTGATGAGCATCTCCACGCCATTGGAAAGACGATCAGATGCGGGAAATGGCTTCCGCACGAGTTAAGCAGTGCAAACGCTCGTTTATATCCGAACAACCTAATAGTTAACTGATTGAAATCTTTTTTATTCCTTTCTTATACAAATCTTCGTATTTATTTATAAAATGAATCCTTTTTAAACTAAATTTCTTGATTAACTAAGCCCGTTAAGCTTTTTATATCAAATAGATTCTAGAAAATTTTGTTTAGTTTAAATTGGTTTGATTTAGAGAATGATTTCGGTTAATTTTTAACCTTTTCCAAAGAAGAAAATGTTCTATTATCTAGCTGTAGAAAGAGATTTTGGTTTATTCTTGGTGTAAAGTAAAAATTTCGGTTCATTTTTGATCTAACTCTGAACTAAATTTATTCAAATTATCAAAAAATCGATAAAAATCTCACTTTACAATGAAAAAATGGCAACCAAATAGCTGTGAATCGATTGAGATGCATTAGTATCATCGAATGTTGTTGAATATGAAAAGCTGCGTATTTGAAAGTGAAAAATGGTCGAAATGGGATAAAACTTGAGACATTTACGTAAAATGGGATCATCGCTGGGATCTCCCAGCATTTCAGCGTCACATACGTATTCAAATATGTTAGAAGGTACTAGAATTCTGTGATCAGAGCTGATTTTTTTTATTTACTTACCACGAAAAGCACAAAGGAGTAAACCCGATAGAAAGAGTTCTCGTTGATGAGTTTCGTTCGACGAATACAAATTCCCAATAAGATATTTAGTGAGGCTGAGGGAATCCCGTAAAGTAGATAGACACCGAATTGCCAATCCATTTAATGCAAGAAGCTAGAAACCTACTATTATTAGAGAAAATACGGTAAATCTTTTTGTCTCTCGGGGAATCAGATTGCTCTAAGAAAGTGGAAAAAATCAGAAAATCAGAAAATTAATTAAAAGCACAGCTCACAGCTAGGTAACTCTCAAAGATCTTTTTACTTTTCTATTTCGTTTTTCTGAATTTACTCAAAGATACTGATCATTTGGAATTGAAAAAAATAATTCATATTTTAGAAATCTGTTGCTTTATTTTCCCAAGAGACATTTCATTATAAAGTTTTTTAATTTTAATGCTAATGAGCTGCGTAGAATTTGTGCAGAACTTTGTTGCTATAGCCTTCTGTTATTCTGATCTTCATAATGAATGTATTATTTTGAGAACAGGTGCAAACAAGATATCCCTTGTTGATTACAGGAAAATAGTAATAGATGATCAGAAAATTGTTTTCCAATAAGTTCTTGTAATTTTTAACCATCTGGTTTGTAGAAGAAAAAAGATGCTTCTCTTGAAAGAACTTTGATGAAAGAACTAAAAAAGAACTAAAAAAAAAACTATATCTATCTAAATAATCAACTTTAAAAACTCCACTTGATATGGTGAGTATTTGTGCAAAAAAAAACCGATAGCCATCTTCAATTTGAACTTCAAAACCTTCAGACTGCATCTTCAAAACCTTCAAACTTCATCTTCAAAACCGACAGCCATCTTTCAATTTGTGAAGCAAAGGCTGCAAAGGTGAGAAGAAGAAGAAGCTTCGGCTTTCTGAGAAGCTTCGGCTTTCTGAGAAGCTTCGGCTTTCGGAGAAGCTTCGGCTTTCGGAGAAGCTTCGGCTTTCGGAGAAGCTTCGGCTTTCGGAGAAGCTTCGGCTTTCTGAGAATTTCTGAGATTTCAACTCAATCTTCAACTCAATCTCAATTCATGAAAAGGTTTTAAGCGCTCTCACATGGTTTATTTGATTCTTTTCTGGTTAAAAAGCTTAAAACAAATGTTTTTCAACAAAAATCATTAGCCATTTGGTGTTTTTATGCGCTCTGGATCTCTGGATCTGGATGGAGCTCTGGATCGGCTTCTTGAAGATGATTTTTTTTTGAAACTGGTAAATTTCATCAGTTAATCTTAAAGTTAATTTAAAGAATTATCCAAATCTTACTCTTAAAGCTTAAATTTATCAAAAAAAGGCGAGAAAACCGATGTCAACTTGAAAATGAACTAGAAAAAGCTTGAATAATGTTGCGTGTCAAGGGTTTTTTGGGCATATCTTCCAAGCCTTTAATAAAAAAGAATAAATCTTGATCTAGGAAGCTCATTCATTTTATGTTAACCAGATTCCCAGACACTATTTTTTTTGATTGAATGCATTGATAAGCACGGGGTTTTCCCAATGATTTTTAAACCCCAAACAAGATTGTCGAAAATCTAGAAATATCTAGAAATATATTTAAACATTTGAAATATTTATTGACTTTTCAAATAGCTGTGGAATGAAGGTAATAGAAGACAAAAGCGAGAAAGAAAAAGAGTGGAATTAGAAGAATTCGCGGAGTCGAATTGCACCAATCTTTGTAAAGTCGAACTTTTTAGTTCAAAGTCCCGCATTTTAGTTCAAAGTCCCGCAGTTTTTAATTCACCAACCCGATAGAAAGAGCTTGAATAATGTTGCGTGTCAAGGGTTTTTTTGAGCACATCTTCCAAGCTTTTAATAAAAAAAAAGAATAATTCTTTATCTAAAAAGCTCATTCATTTTATGTTAACCAAATTCCCAGACACTATTTTTTTTGACTGAATGCATTGATAAGCACAGGATTTTCCCAATGATTTTTAAATTCCAAATGCGATTTTCTAAAATCTAAAAATATCTAGAAATAGATCCAAACATTTGAAATATTTATCGACTTTTCAAATAGTTGTGGAATGAAGGTAATAGAAGACAAAAGCGAGAAAGAAAAAGAGTAACATCAGAAGAATTTGTGGAGTGGTTTATAGGTTGCCAAGTGGTTGAGCGGTTTTAAAACAAGCTGAGGGTCAAGAGTTCCAACTTCACCCGTGCTTTTTCAACTCATAATTGTGATTTTTAAAATAGCTGTGAAATGAAGGTAATAGAAGAGACAGGCGATAAAGAAAAAGAGTGGAATCAAAAGAATTCGCGGAGTTCATAGGTTCAGTGCAATCTGTGAACAATGATTTGTAGCTTTTCAAAGTAAACCAATGAATCTGTGACTGCTATTGCAAAAAGAATAAATCTTTATCTAAAAAGCTCATTGATTTTATGTTAACCAAATTCCCAGACACTATTCCTTTTTTTGGTTGAATGCATTGATAAGCACAGGATTTTCCCAATCTAGATAAATCTAAAAATATCTAGAAATGTATATCCAAACATTTGAAATATTTAGCGACTTTTCAAACAGTTGTGAAATGAAGATAATAGAAGACACAGGTGATAAAGAAAAAGAGTAACATTAAAGGAACTCGTGGAGTCGAATTACACCAATCTTTGTACTCACACAGGCAGAGGGTTGACGTCTAGAAATTGAATTGTTTACTTTAATGTAGAGCTGATTTAGACCAAATTTCCAGCTATACACATGGCTTAATCGTAAGTTTTCATAGCTTTTCATAGCTTTTCATAGCTTTTCATAGCTTTTCATAGCTTTTTACGACTCCTAACAAGACATAGCTATCAAGAATTGTCAATCTTATCAATTATTTGTGATTGATAATGATTGATAAGAGTTTGTAAGAGGCTGCTTTTACGATTTAGGCGACATATTTACCAGCTCTACTTTGCAAACTTTGCTCTAAAATGGAAGCACACCACTGAATTCTTCATGTTCTTGTAGGAATGACTGGGCAACGCGAAAATGAAGATTTCAATGCGCCAGATGAGCTGCGTTTCCACTTGTTAACAGGGTTGTTCCAAAGCCAAGATTACCAAACCAGATCAGGCTAGGATCTAGCTTGTAGTCCGATTTACAGGGTACGGCTCTAGAGCTAGGCTAGAACCATGCTTGTTAGACCCCAATCTCACTACAGTATGCTGGCGATACCGAATCAAGAATGGCTTCGAATTTTTGATGAAACAAAGGGAAAATTTCATTTTTAAACTTACATTCAATACAGGACTGGGATGAAATCGCGAGTTATTACTCTATGAAATTGAAAAGAAATAGCCAACCTCTTTATTTTAGAGTTTGTTGACCTGTCCATTGCACAAGGAAACTTCTAGATTCTCTAGAAGTTCCTCTTTTCTCTAGAACTATATTCTCTTTTGTCCTCTTTTTCCCCCCATTGTTCCCCGTTTATTGTTCCCCGTCACTCTGGTTAAGGAAGTTTTCCAAAACAAGCAAAAATTGGAATTGGCGACAAGCGGAATTGAACAAAAATGGCATAGGTTTCGCAGTCTAGCACTATCCCTACGCCGTCTCTACGTTTACTGCCTTTCGGCGTGGCACTCTCTTATGAACTTGGCTTTGGAAATTGCCTTGGAGATTGCCTTGGAATCACCAAAGCATTGGAATTTGCCTTGGCAACGCGGTTTGAAACTTTGAACTGGTTTTTGGTGGTGAGTTGGTGGTGAACAGTTGAACTGATGGCAGTTGAAATAGTTCCCTAGCTAGCCAGAACCCAGAAGCGATAGAGAGTTGAGAGGGAAGGGGAGGGCTATCTATCGGGGAGGTGTGCCAGATGGAGGGCGATTGCGCGGGCACACCAAGAACAAACACCGGGAATGAGGATTTTTTTGGTGAAGATGATATGCACAGTGCTACAGTAATCCTTTGGCTAATCAATACGGTACTTGTAAGAAAACTTACCTTTGTGTACTGTCCAATGGATCCATTCAGCGTTTGACGGGAGACTTGGGTGCAACCAATTGCAGAAGTTGACTAAATATTTTGATTTACTGTAAAAGAAAAATGGCAACTGACCGCATTCTGGCAGCTCTTTGTGTAGGTGTGATAGGTGTAGCTCGTGTTCTGATAGGTGAATGTGTAGTCAACTGGAAAACTTTTTAAAATAATGACACTGATTTGTAGGAATAAGAAAGTTCGGGTTCTTGTCGGGTCTTCGGGTATTTTGAATGCGTCGTCACGCTTTGAAGGCCTATAACTTCATCGAGAAACAATATTATTGCAAACTTTTTATATCATTTTATAGAGGACATTTCAAGCTTTCGAACGACACCAAAAACAGTTTGATTGGATTTTTGGTTTCCATAAAAACCACTGTATGAGTTGGATCGGTCTTGTTTGCTTAGAGTTTTCGAGTTTTGCTTAGAGTCCTAGTTGATTCTGGACTGGAATATCCAATCAAACTGTTTTTGGTGTCATTCGAAAGCTTGAAATGTTCTCTATACAATGATATAAAAAGTTTGCAATAATATTGTTTCTAGATGAAGTTATAGGCCTTCAAAGAGTGACGACGCATTCAAAATACCCGGAAAGCCAAAAAGAGTTTGGTGGTCTTCAGGTTTCTAAACTTTTCAACATTATTTTCCTAGTGTACTGAATTTTAAAATTTAGCGAAATATCCAAGTTTTTTTGGATCTACAAAACTCTCACCCGAAGCTTTCTGACACATTTTCGCTGTGCACTTGTCAGCACCAGATTTCGAGGTACAATTGCCGGTAAACGTCGCTGAAAATAAGAAATTGGATAAATGAGTGAAGCTTAGATTTTAAATTTTGAAATAATTGACTGCAGATTTTGGATAAGCAGTCAAAATTTTGCTTTAATCTTTTTTTTTGAAGTATTTTCTGCGAGTTTAACAAAGATTGGGTAAGTGGAAAAAAGATTTACTTCTGTAGTAGCGTAACTTTCGAGTCATTTATAACTGATTTAGTTAGAGATTATTACTGTGAAAGCTTTTTCTGATAAAATTGCCTACGTGTTGGAATCCCATTTCGCGAGAGAGCTTCTTGAATAGTTGGTGACAGTGAATCGGCTCCCATGCAAGTGTGACACAAGACATAGGCTGAAACAAAACAAAGGTAAAGAGCGCTTTTCAATCATTAGGCTATGATCAACAGTGGCCTAACGGATAGCAAGATGTCATCTTGGTAGTATCGGTACTATCGGTAGTAACGGTACTATCGGTAGTAACCGGGGTTCGGTTACTTTCGGTTACTCTTGGTTTCTTGGTTTTATGTACTTATAGCTCAACACTAACTAGGGAAAAGCACAAAGTTTCCGTGAACTTTCGTTCACGGAAAAAAGCAAGAGTGGGACCGAACCTTGATCTTACGGCCGAGAGCCCGTCCCAATATAAACTAGGCCACCGATGCCGATATTTTCGTGATTGAAAAGCAAGCTTATCTTCCGGATCACATACATCTTACTAAATCGAATATAGAGATTCATAAGGTGAAATCAAAATCTGCCAAATAAGCTGGCAGACGCGTAAAAATTGAAATTTCGAAGATAAGCTTTAAAGCTCGAAGATAAGCTTGCTTTTCAATCACGAAAATATCGGCATCGGTGGCCTAGTTTATATTGGGACGGGTCGTAAGATCAAGGTTCGATCCCACTATTGCTTTTTAGTTTTTTTTTGAGAGAAGGAAACTTCTAGCGAAACTAGAAGTTTCCTTGTGCAATGGACAGGTCAACAAACTCATTATCAACTAATTGTCGAGCTTTATTGACTCTGGGAATCTATAGAGAAAATGAACCAAATCTGTATCGAAAGGGAACCAAATCTGTACCGAAAAGGAACCAAACCTGTAGTCCATTAAACAGTCCATTAGCATGCTTACTCTAGTTCTAGGATTTCACAAATCTAATTTTTCACCTTTCCGATTTCTCGATGAAGAAGAAGAACTAGAAGAGGATGACCACGAATCCCATGAATGCCATGAAGAAGTTGAAGAGGAAGAAGCCTTTTTCAGCGCTGATGTTATCGCAGAAGCTGAATTTCGAGTTGTATTGTGAATAATCTTGAACTTTTGACAACTCAGCTAGCAAAGACTTTGAAATTCTATTCTTAAGAAAGACTTGAATATCAGTATGCACTTGAAATCAATAAGTAATAAGAGATCAATAAGTCGTTGAACTTTTTTGAGGTTGAAACGACTTTCTGGCTGAATTTTAATCAATTTTGATCAATTTTGATTTGAATTTAACACACTGTTAACACCAAATCGTATAATTTATTGTATTAGGTTGGTGAATTGAAAACTGCGGGACTTTGTACTAAAATTTATTCAACATAAAACGATCAATTCATTCCAAATAATTTCCATTATTATTGACGACTTCTACCTATTTTACAGGCAATTTGCGGATTCCTCTTTCATAGTAGGATTTTGGTTTGTGTGTGAGACAAGTGTGAGACTCAAGAATGGAGAACTGGAGATGTCGCAGTTTGAGCACTTTCTTCAAAAGAACCCCATTTTGGTGTCAATAGAAAAGTTGTAGAGACTCAAAAATTAGGCTTATAGCCAAATTTCCAAAAAGATACACTTAGTAGTTTCGCTTAAAATGCAAGTTTTGTGAAAATCCGTAAATTTGGGCATTTCATGAAAACCAGTTTTTGAATCGTTCTGAAAATTTGGCTATAAGCTTAATTTTTGATTTTCTACAACTTTTCCATTGACACCAAAATGGGTTTCTTTTGAAGAAAGTGCTCAAACTGTGACCTATGACAATAGCCGGCAGTTTTCAATTCACCAATCCAATAGTTGAACTTTTGGAGGCTGAAACGACTCCCTTCTGGCTCAATTTTAATCAATTTTGATCAATTTTGATTTGAATTTAACACATTGTTAACGCCAAATCGTATAATTTGTTGTATTTACAAACCTGTCGTGAAAAAGAAGAAAGCAAATAGCAAAAGTTTCATTGATAGTCGGTTTAGTTATTCAAAATTTGAGTTTTCGAATGCAAATCTTTGAAAATCCAAACTTTTAAGTCTTTTAAGTCTTTTTTCCTTTTCACCAATCGTTGATCTTTGCTGAAAAAGTGTCACTAAGAAACAAAAAAACTCAGAAAAGCTCAAAAATACAATGGAAACGGGTCGACTAACGTCATTTCGTTTAGCTCATTTCATTTGGAATTCGAAAAATGAATGAACTAACATCGTCAGGGATTTGAGAAGAGTTTAGCCTGATTTTTGACAACTTTGAGGCTTTGAACTTCAACTTTGAAGTTCAAGTTTGAGGTTTGATCAAAACTAGAAGCAACTTGAAAAATTTGAAGCCCATTACTCAAATTTGAGGCATTAACCCCAAGACTTTGCAAAAGTATCTTGAATTTTGAAACGCTTCCCGCTTCCCGCTTCCCGGGTTGTTCATTTTTGTTTTGTTATCAATTCTTCACTTTCAATGAAGCAGTTCAAATACGTAAAACCTTTATTAAAATGTTTTCAACTTCGAGAAATTGTACTTAATCAAAGTCTCTAAAAGAATTCTATCGAAAGAATTCTATCATCGCCTCTAGACGCCTCTAGACTGACTTTTTTGCCACAGGGATCTAAAAGCTGGCTACTCTTTGGCAGAAGTGTATTGATTCTAACGGTTTTTACCGTATTTTCTCTAATAGTAGTGCACCCAGAGCGTCGCCTAAATTGTTCGAAATCTCGAGAACCGCTTATCAGAACCTATCGATGTGGGGTCGGAAAATGTAGCTGACGATCAGATCTAATGGGGGATTAGAGTGTTGAGCTTCTGTGAAAGCATGAAAACCGTAAAATAGTCACCAACTCGGCTCGGTGTGGGGGCACTACTATTGGGTTGGTGAATTGAAAACTGCGGGACTAAAATTTATTCAACACAAAACCATCAATTCATTCCAAATAATTTCCATTATTATTGACGACTTCTGCCCATTTTACAGGCAATTTGCGGATTCCTCTTTCGTAGTAGGATTTTGGTTCGTGTGTGAGACAAGTGTGAGACTCAAAAATGGAGGACTGGAGAGGTCCCAGTTTTTGTCACAGTAAATTGCTCGAAATCTCGAGAACCGCTTATCAGAACCTATCGATGTGGGGTCGGAAAATGTAGCTGACGATGAGATCTTGTGGGGGATTAGAGTGTTGAGCTTCTGTGAAAGCTTGGAAACCGTAAAATAGTCATCAACTCGGCTCACTGGGGTGCACTACTATTAGAGAAAATACAGTATTTTGACTAATTTGCATGTTGTTTAATAGAAATTTTACAACTAAAAATCATTAAAAAAACACAGTTATTTTCCGGAGTACCTAATAATTGCTTGAATATCTTTTCATCAACCTGTTCCAAATGTTATTGTCCAAATGAACCAGGATCTATCGTTGCTCTTAGCTTGACAAATACTTGGTTAAATGGTCAGTTTTAAATGTTAATTTTTAACCAATTAAATAAACCAATTAAAAACCAATTAAAATAGAAATCTGCTCTGATTATTGATGCTTCATTGGAATGAGCTTAATGATTTTCAATCAAAAGAGAATTCAATGCAGCACAAAGATTAGGATTTTCATGTGTGTTTTCATTTTTTAATGAAAAGATCACCATGGTAATCACCTGTCGCCCTAGCATTTTCTTTTAAGCTCTTTAAAATTACCTTCTTTTTCACAACTCCTCCAAATCAACAATGGAAATTGTCCACGAAGAGCCGACTGGCTACTTTTTCTCTCAAAGACTTTTTGGTGTTCTTGGTGGATCTATCAACTTTTACATTATCTATTTAATCATTTGGGTGTCACCAAAATCTATGAAAAACTACCGTTATTGCATCTTATTTTATCAGGTTCAATGAAAGTGATCATTAAAATATTACACTGCACTAGGTTAATGCAAAAGAATTTTCGTTTTTTAAAATCAAAGTCTAATCAAAATTCCTTTAGGTAACAATTTATTTCAAAAAACAAACACCTAAAAATCCTATAGAAAACACTATTTTCGCGCGTATTTGCATCGAGTCTTTTCATCGAGTTCACTAAGTTTTGAAGCGTTTGTGGTGGAATTGACTTCCAAGTTTGCAAAATTGCTTTTTTTGAGTTGCGAAATCGTGTCGTAAGTGTTACCATTAGCATAAATATTCCTCACGAGGAAGCTTCATAAGTTTTCCATTGGGTTTAAGTCCGGTGAGCAGGCAGGCCATTCGAGAAAATCGATGTTATGACGTCCCAGGAAAGCTTTAGTGGATTGGCTGACATGAATTGAAGCATTATCCTGTTGAAAATCGTGTTTGACGTGTTTGTGAAATTGACGAGCAAATGTAACATTTAAAATCGTAGTCCATTTTCTACATCTGTATTTGACACTATAAATCAAGAGGGCTTGGCTCTAGTGCTGAACTAGAGCTCTAGAGCTGAACTAGAGCTCTAGAGCTGAACTAGAGCTCTAGAGCTGATCTAGAGCTCTAGAGCTGATCTAGAGCTCTAGAGCTGATCTAGAGCTCTAGTGCTGATCTAGAGCTCTAGAGCTGATCTAGAGCTCTAGTGCTACGTGAGCTGTAGTTGGTGCAGTGTATTTTATAATTGTTAACTATGTTTTAGGTTCACTCAACCATTCTCGAATCCTTTATGCACATAGCAGAAGCTGAGATCTACTTTCCGACGAAAAGCGGTCGACCATTTGGAATCACGTACACGTGGTTTGGATGGAGTGCGGCAACTCATTTCGTAATTAAAGAAAAAAAACATAAAACATTTAAACACAATCTACAGATTATTTATGCGTATTTTGGCATAGCGATAACGGTGGGTGTTGTCATGTGTTTTCACTATCGCCATCAACTAATACTCCCCGACAATCATTGGCTAAAGTTTTGATTTGTTTAGAAGCAAAGAAATGATGAAATAAAATAGATTCCGCATTCGCACATGGATTCTCATTATATTTTTTCACTTTTCTATTTGGTTCTCACTTTTCGTTTTCTGCATAAAAGGCCTTCACTTGGAGCAACCGCCACTGGCAACCGGCATTCCCGAATTCTTGAAGGTTTGAAGAGAATTGAGTTGGCTATTTAGTTA